GGTTGCGTATAGAACTTGTCCGTGTCTCTTTTGGTATAAATGAAAAAAATAATCCATTACTTGCTAGCAGTACAGGCAGGTACAGGCAGCTCATTGAGGACTTTGTGGTTTGGTGCAAGGCTAACCACCTTCAACTGAACACTACAAAGACCAAAGAGATGATGGTGGACTTTAAGAGGAGAAGACCACAGCTGTGACTGGGACACTGTGGAGGTTGTAGAGATTTGTAAGTATTTGGGCCTAAAGCTTAACCACAGGCTAGATGGGTGTGAGAATACAGACCTGCTCTACAGAAAGGGACAGAGCAGGCTGTACTTTCTCAGAAGGCTGAAGTCCTTTAACATCTGCCAGAAGCTCCTGCTGATGTTCTGCCAGACAGTCATCCCCAGTGTTCTCTTCAGCGCTGTGACCTCTGGGGAGGAAGTCTCAGGAAAGACACTGTGCTTTTGGATAAGCTGGTGAAGAAGGCAGGATCTGTAGTGGGTGCAGAGTTTGACTCACTCACATCTGTGGCTGAGAAAAGGGCCCTAAACAATCTCCTGTCCATCCTGGAGAACCCTCAGCACCCCTTTGTGGACAGGCTGTTGTCCCTGTCCTACTCCAGGAATAGATTCTGGGAGGAGTTTGTACCACATGCCATATGGATATTCAAAGCTTCACTATAACTTTATGCTGTCTTAAATATCAATTTCCTTTGAGATAATAAAGTAACCATCTATCTATCATGATGTGCAGTTATCCATAGCAGGGGCCGACAGTATGTGATGCATCAGGTCCAATTGTGCAACACAGTTTTCTAACACAAAAGGTTGGAGACCCTGGTTTAAATTGTAGATTGTCTAAAACCCCTGAAACCCACATTTAGCTCATTGACCCCACTGTGGACACGAGACACCTCTGAAGGCAATTTTAATTACTCTGCCTAGAGTACCATTGCTTCAGTAGTATTCAGGTAATCTGCCCCTGACTTTATTTCTTATGTCAGTCTGAATAATGAGGCGACATGCCTGAACAAGTATAACCGACTCATAATGTTATAATTACAGAAACACCAATAGCACATAACTCACAGGGAAAAAACATCTAATCCAAGACCAAGAGACAGCACACACACAACACATTCACAATGTGTACAATCACGAGGAACATGGACACAAGCAGGAGTGGATCAACAGAACATACTGTTTATGGTCTAACACTACAGGAGACCGTGGAGAGAACATCAACACTACAGGAGAGTGTGGACAGAACATCTCAACACTACAGGAAACCGTGGACAGCATGATTTGTACCTAGGGCCTAAAATTTGGTGCTACACCCCTGCATGCAAAGACAAAAACACAGAAGAAGAGGCTGGAGGACCGACAGACAGACAGATAGACAGTTTTTTAAATGTCTCCACTGATATTTTTGCCCAGTCATCTATAGCGGTGAGCTCCAAAGCTTTCGGATTGGAGGATCTTCTTGCCATCACCCTGATTTTTTGCTCCCTCCACAGATTCTCAGTTGGATTCAAGTCAGGACTCTGGCTGGGCCACTTCAAAATGGTAATGTTATTGTCTAATGACCATTTCTTCACCACTTTTGCAGTGTGTTTTGGATCATTGTCATGCTGAAATGTCCACTGGTGCCCAAGTCCAAGTTCCTCTGCAGCTGCTTGATATTGTTGTTGAGAATCTTGATCTGTTGCTCTTTGTTCATGGTGCTGTTTACTGTGATTAGACTCCCTGCCTCACTGGCTGAAAAAACATCTCCAAAGCATTAGGTTCCCACCATCATGTTTGACAGTGGGATGTTGTTCTTAGGGTTGAAGGCTTCTCCTGTTTTACACCAAATCATCAATACATCATTGTGGCCAAACAGTTCCATTTTTGTTTGGTCTGACCATAAAACAAAAGACCAAAAGTCTTCTTCTTTGTCCAGATGAGCATTTGCAAAGGCTAAACGGGCTTTTGTGTGTCTTATCTGGAGAAGTGGCATCCTTCTTGGCCTGCATCTGTGGAACCCAGCAGTATGTAGTGTCTGTTGGATTATCTGTCTTGAGATGTTCCACCAGCAGAGCCCAGATTCACTTGCTCAACTTGCTGTTTGAATAAAAGTCACTTTAAGTCAAAATTTGACTTTTATATATATATATATATATATATATATATATATATATATATATATATATATATATACAGTCCCTGACAAAAGTCTTGTCGCTTATCCATTTTGTAGAAACAAAAGCTTATAACCTGACTTTAAATTAATCGATTGGTTTTAGAAATGTCTCATATGAAAGCTAAAACCCTCCCAAATTATGCTCAATATACTAAAATAAATTTGCTTCACTGAAGAAAGATTGATCATTTAATGAACACAGAAAGGTCAGATTTTGGCAAGACAAAAGTCTTGTCGCCTTGTCATATGATGCACCCAATCCTAGATTACAGCCTCACCTGTGATCAGTTACTGATCAATCAATTAGTTTGTGTATAAAAAGAACCCCAGCACACCAGACCTTCACATCAACTGCAACTTGACCTCTGACAACATGCCTAAGATCCACCCTGAGACCAAAGCGTTAATTATCAAGAGGCTGAAGACCAGATCCACTGCTGAGGTGGTGACACCTTCAATGTGTCTCAGCGTCAAGTACAAAGAATAAGAAAAAGATCTGAAATGACTGGAGATGTTTTTGACAAGCCCAGGTCTGGCAGAACCCGCAAGACAACTGCTCGGGAGGACCGTTTGTTGATTCGAAAATCCAAGGTCAGCCCCTTTTCCACTGCAGCAGACTCCACCAGGCCTGGTCACCTCAAGTCCCTGTGTCAACCACAACAGTTTGTAGAATTCTGTCTCGAAATGGCCTCCATGGTCGAATCAGTGCACAGAAACCAGCACTAAACAAAAGGCAATTAAAAAACCGTGTGGCATTTGCCAAGGCCCACAGCCTGCTAAAAGGATGGACACTGGAAAAGTGGCAGAAGGTGGATTTCTCAGATGAATCCTCGGTTGAATTACATCACAGTTGCCACAAATATTGCAGGAGACCTACTGGAGCCCGCATGGATCCAATATTCACCCAGAAAACAGTTAAGTTTGGTGGTGGAAAAATCCTGGTCTGGGGTTCCATCCAGTATGGGGCTGTGCGAGACATTTGCAGGGTGGAAGGCAAATATCAATAGCCTAAAATATCAAGAAGTATTAGCTCCTCTTACATTCCCAACTATAAAAGGGGTCAAATTTTGCAGCAGGATGGTGCTCCATTGCATACTTCTATCTCTACATCAAAGTTTCTCAAGGTGAAGAAGATGAAGGTGCTCCAGGACTGGCCAGCCCAGTCACCAGACATGAACATCATTGAGCATGTCTGGGGTAGAATGAAAGAGGAAGCATGGAAGGCAAAACCAAAGAATCTTGATGAACTCTGGGAGGCATGTAAGACGCTTTCTTTGCTATTCCTGATGACTTCATCAACAAATTGTATGAATCATTGTTGAACCGCATGGATGCGTCCTTCAAGCTCATGGAAGTCATACAAGATATTAAATATGGATCTCACAGCACCACTACTTCATTCACTGACGTTATGCAACATATTTTTGTATTTGAAGTAAATTATTTGTTCAGTTTTCTGTAGGCAACAAGACTTTTGTCTTGCCAAAATCTGACCTTTCTGTGTTCATTAAATGATCAATCTTTCTTCAGTGAAGCAAATTTATTTTAGTATATTGAGCATAATTTGGGAGGGTTTTAGCTTTCATATGAGACATTTCTAAAACCAATCGATTAATTTAAAGTCAGGTTATAAGCTTTTGTTTCTACAAAATGGATAAGCGACAAGACTTTTGTCAGGGACTGTATGTGTATATATATATATATATATATATATATATGCAGTTCTCTTCTTTTTCTCTGGTCCATGTTCAGTGTTGTGAATGTGGTGTGAATGTTTCCAAACAGCACAATGACACTGTGTCACCCTTTAAACAGACAGACTGATTGAGGACAAGTTTGAAGAACCTGTGATGCAGATTAGAGACACACCGAAGTTTAACTTGTCCCTATGGTCCAATTACTTACAGTCTTTTCTAAGGTCACCATAATTTTTGTTCAGGCCAGTTTCATTAGTTTGTTTTTTAAATAACTTTGTTGAACATATGCTTAAGGAAAGACTGGGGTTTTATTGTCTTTTAGCAGACAAAACATCTTATGTTAAGATATCCTAGTCTTTGCTACTCTGCAGCAAACAATGGCCTATCCATGAAGACTTGGGCTGAAGAGCCAGTTTGAACAAACAGAGAACAAGTATTAGCAGGATGTGGTTGCTACATTCATGTAGTTTAAAAAAAAAAAAAAAGCATGACAATATCAAGTAATCCAAAGTATTCAGATTTAGATGTGTGATTTAATACAAGTGTATAATATAAGTGTATAATATAAATATCTCAGTGTATAATATTAGTGTATAATATAAGTATATAAGTGTGTATGTGCATAATTTAAATATAATGAAGGGAAGTGACAGCAGAACACTCTTGTTTATACATGAAGCTCTGGTTGGGTCTGTCACTTTACTGAACCATGTGCTCGTCTGTGACATGTCTCCTTCTTCAGGCTCACAGTTGGGCAGTGAACACAGCTCAGAGTTTACCGTGTGTGAAGTGCATGTGCACTGGTTTACATGTGTTCAAATGGTCATTCATGCATCTTTTAGGATAGGCCTATCTATCTAGTGTTTTTCTGCAGTAAAAAAATAAATAAATAAATAAAATGTTTACTAATAGAATTAGTATTACATAATATACGGACACTTTTATAGACAACTCTTTTTTCTATCAAAAAATAATAATGGGATTTAGCTCGGCCTCTGTATTTGAGAATAGCCACAAACAAACAAACAAACAAACAAGCACACAAACACACAAACACAGCTCTTATGACTGCGCCTGACACGACCTGACACGACCTGCCTCCAGGGCGTGCGCTGAGCGAGTCTTGAGGCGGCGGAAGAGGAGCATGGCGCACAGGAAGAAGTTTATTCTGAAGTTGTTTTTGTTCCGTGTGTTCGCGCGTCTGTGATGTGACTCTCGGCTCTTCTGACCATAGACTATATGTGCCTGTTCGCCACTCTACAAGTTTCACTTTCTCCTCAGGTCCATGGTTTGACCCGCGCTGATCCGAGTCCGTTTTAGCCGCTCGTTCAGGTAAGAAAACACAAAAGCCGGCACGTTTTCTCCTCACACCAGCAGCAGCGGCAACGGCGGCGGCGCGGTCAGAGAAGTGTGCGGTGTCTGGACCTAGTCATGCCCCGCGTCAGAACCCCGCTGTTCAGTGTCTGCTGCGGTTGAAGGAACGTAATAAATGTTTACTGCTCTGTTCACCTGTGCCCAAGAGACTGTACCGGCCACACTGGCGCTTTCGCAACCACCGACTCAACAGGGGACAGGGACTCAACTGGCACTAAACAGGGACTAAAACAGGACCAAACCTGGACTAAACTAGGACTAAACTGGGACCAAGCCATAGGCCTATCACGACATTTCAATTTATCGTTCTGTATGTGTTAGACGGAACAATCACTTTTCGGGGTCAGTATTTATCGTGGGTACTTTTTCGTAGTACTAGGAGAGGACTTTTTGTTATTTTTCCTTTCTACAGTAAGATTTAACTTATTTGACATAACTTCTATTACTCATTATAGACACAAACTAAGTACTTAAGTATTTTATTCATTATTTATTTATGTAATTACTGCAGTTTGGATTTTAAACATGTAGTACATTTGGAATAGTTTTTTGGAGATCATTTTGCTTTAGGTTTATTGTGTCAGTAGCATAAATTAGTTTCAATATTTTTTTTGATTGCCTACATTTACTCAGGCAATATATCATACTTGACAAGCCAGCACTAAACCAAGACTAAACCGGGACTAAACAGGGATTAAACCAGGACTAAACCGGGATTAAACCAGGATTAAACCAGGACTAAACCGGGACTAAACCAGGACTAAACAGGGATTAAACCAAAACTAAACCAGGACTAAATTGGGACTAAACAAGGATTAAACCAGGGTAAAACTGAAACTGCAACAGGCCAGGCAACCCAGACTGATCTAGTCTGGTCTGAAGCTAAAGACATTGTAAATAAATTAATGTTTTTTACATTAATTTAATTTCCTGGACTCTTTTACAGCAAAAGAAGCTGTAAAAGAGTCCAGGAAAAGCATTAACCAGGTCTTGACTGGGTTTAAGAGAGAACCAAACCAGGACTAAAAGAGAACAAAGGTTGAACTACCCTCTGGCTGGACCTCATACTCATACAAATAGTGTGTTTGAGATTGTTGGGACTTAGTGGAACTTTGTGGTTTTGTGTCCAGTATCAATATTGATAATGTAAACCGCCGATATTTGTGTGTCCAAACTGTCTTTTTTTCCTCCTTTTTAGCCCTGATTTGGTTCTGTTTTAGACACAGTCAAGTCCTGCCATGCCCCACATGTCTCTCTGTAATGAAACTTTTTAGGAAAATATGATACCCTGGAATCAAATGTTCCAAAAAGAAGCCACAATCACATACAAAACATATCTCTAACGTATGTGCACAAATACAGAAAAACATAGACTCTTGTGAAAGCATGTTATAATGCTGTTACATCCTCAAAAACATTCCTGGAGTTGTGTTTTCTTTCATTCATGTTTGAGGAATCCTTTGTTATTAGTCTGTCTACCTTTCCAAAGCTCAAATGCTCCGTTCCATGTTGTGATGTCATGAAGTGGTAGTTTTCAAGTGAACAGGTCCTTTTACTTGTTTTTCTTTAGTAGACATTGGCATTTCCAGAACTGAAATCATCCAAATGATTCTAGTTTAAATGTATGGAGTTTAAAAATGCAGTGGAACACTTCCTGTATTATCACATACATCACAAGGTGGAACAGTTTTGTGCTTGAGAGAAGAACTCTGCTGTAATATACAGGGTTTGTGTGTTAAACATGTGTGAATGAAACAAAACACAACTCCAGGTGTGTTTGTGATGAGAAAACAACATTTTAACAGAGATAGATACAAAATAGTGTTACATGAACTTTTCAAGTGTTTAGTCCTAGTTTCAGATGGTCCACAGTCTGGATGTGCTTTGGTTCTCAGTCATATTGGTGGTGGGAAGGGGGGGGGGGGCTCAGACAGGTCTGACCATGCCCAGTGTTCGCACATTCCCCTGGACAGCTGTGCTCTGAAAATAACCCCCCCTAACTCCCGGAGCTGCTGCTCAGGTCTGTGTTTTTTTGTAATAGGGCCACAACTAATGATTATGTTAGTAGTGGACTGGTCGGTGATTATTTCTCTGGAGACGTTAATTACATTATATTGAAATATGGCAACTGAAGGCAGAAATAGAGAATATTTACAAATAAAATGTATTCATGAAAATGAACTATTATGACTTATTTCTTATAGTCACGATTAGTCAATTAATTATTACTGTTTTAGTTTGCTAATTTAATTAGATTAAGATAAAAATAAATAAATAATACTGTGCCTTTTTTGTGGCTTTGTAATGGTTTATTCTCCAAATGAACTGATGCTTTTGACAGCACATCTTACATCTTCATACAAAACGTCTTATACAGTAGCATATTTCTTCTACATATTATATATTCCATATGTCTTATGTTTGTCCCACGAGATCAAATCAAATCTGTATTAGAGCTGCCCGTCAGCTACAGATAGACTATAGAGACATTCTTTAATTAAAATGTTATTATTATTTTATATTCTGCTTGTTCTGGATTCAGTGTTTAAGTAAAACTATTGTTAATTAAACATTTATTTAAATAAGAAAAAAATTAACATTACATATCTTGAAAGAAGAGAAAACATGCAGATGTTGTTGAAATTTTTCAATAAATATTTAGTTTGGCCCATGACTTAGTCCCAGTTTTTAATTGTGGCCTCTGAATTTGAGTGTGACTCCTCTGCTCTAGATGATCTTCTTTGCCGTATCAGTGACTCTAATGAATCAGTGACTAATCTGTTAATAAAGGCAGATGACTTTAAGCCAGATCAAGTTAGTTAGTGGTTAGTTGCAACTCTGTGTGGAGTTTGCATGTTTCTCCCCGTGTCTGGATGGGTTTCCTCTGGGTGCTCCGGTTTCCCCGATCAACCCAAAACATGCTATGTTGATAGTCATGCTCAGTTAAATACAATCAATTCAATCATTGTGTGTCCTTGGGCAAGACACTTCACCCACATTGCCTAGTATGGGAGTGGTGTGTGAGTGAGTGAGTGAGTGATGGATGGATGGAGGGACCGATGGCGTTGATTGGCATGGCAGCTGTGCTTCTGTCAGTCTGCCCCAGGGCAGCTGTGGCTACAATAGTAGCTTACCATCATCAGGTATAGACTGAACGAATAATGCTCTGTAAAGCGTCTTTGGGGACAAAAAATGTCTGTGAAAAGCGCTATAGAAATAAAGACGTACTGACTGAAACAGTTTTGTATTTGTGCTTGGTGGTTTCAGGTGTGTGAGATGGCCATCGCTCATGTTGCCACAGAGTACGTGTTCAGTGACTTCCTGCTGAAGGATCCAAACCCGGCGCGGTATCGGAACGTCCGCACGGAGCTGGCCACAGACAAACTGGTGACATGTGTGGCTGTGGGGCTCCCCCTGCTGCTCATCTCTCTCGCCTTTGCTCAGGAGGTGTCTGTCGGTCAGTGCGCCTGCTGGCTCCCAACCAAAGGATACCAGCTCATACTAGTGTTGTCACCATACCAGCATTTCCAACTCGATTTCAATACTACAGAATAGACACAATACCGACTCTGATACCACAATGATACAAAGAAAAACACTCCTTTAGACAACAGAATGTGATTTCAACATCATTCCTGTTTTCAAAAACTAGCTGATAGTCATACACAAATATTCAAATTATTATCGTAGTGTTGATGAAAAACATGCCATGGTGCCAGGAGTAGGGCAGGTGCACTGGTCTCTCTTCTTCACTCTGGTCTGTTTCTCTGACAGGGACACAGATCAGCTGCTTCTCTCCTTCTAACTTCTCGTGGAGACAGGCCATGTACGTGGACTCCTACTGCTGGGCTGCTGTGCACACCCACACACTCCCCCTGTGGCTACACAAGGTACTGCATACACTCTTACAGACGTGTTTAAAATTGTTGGTATCCCTCTGGTAATGAACGAAAAATCAACAATGGTCACAGAAGTAACTAATACAAAGAAAAACAATAATAAATAAAAGTTTTCTGAAAAATAACCAAAGAAAATCAGACACTGCTTTTGAATTCTTGTTCAACAGTTATTTTAAAAAACAATCTAATGAAACTGGCCTGGACAAAAATCATGTTCCCCTAGAAAAGATTGTAAATACTTGACAATAAAAAAAGTTAAATTAAATTAATTAAAAAAGTTAAACTTTGGTGTGTCTCTAATCTGCATCACAGGTTCTTCAAACTTGTCCTCAGTCAGTTTGTCTGTTTAAAGGGGGACATGTGTCATTGTGCTGTTTGGAGACATGATGGAGACATTGAACATGGAGCAGAGAAAGATAAGAAGAGAACAGTGTCAGGAGACTAGAAAGAAAATAATAGACAAGCAGGTTAAAGATAAAGACAATAAGACCAGTGTCCATGTTCTGAGATCCTGTTGTTGAGGCCCCTGCCTTCGACTACTGCCCAGATCTCTCAGCACTGGCCCCTAATGGCTCCTGCAGGTGGTGGGTCCACGGAAGGGCGGCCCCATGTTGCTCGTTTGGGCTGTGCCCGGTCGGGTCCTGTGGGGGAAGGTCCAGCCACCAGGCGCTCACCGTCGAGCACCCACCCCAGGCTTGGCTCCAGTGACGCCATTCCCGGGCGACGTAACTGGCCTCTGTGTGGTCATCATCATAAAGGCCTTCTGAACCGTTCAAGAAATCATTTGATTGCAGAGTTTGCCTCAAAAGGTGGTGCAAAAAACAAAAAAAATTAAGTTAAAGGTTGTATAAAGGATTTTCCAAGGAACGAGAAATCCAGCGACTGTTTGTCCTTTTTCAAATGTTGCGCATGCGTGAAACCATCCCCCCCTCCCCCACAGCTCCCTACGTAGAAACGCCTCCTCCTTACGCCAGAAACAGGTTTGTTTCTAGAAAACAAGTCCTCATCGCTGCACATGACTTGTAAACAACTAACTACAGTGTTGGTTAGGCAAGGCGAAAAGGTGAGGAGTGGGGGGAGTGGGTGCGTGGAAAAGAAGTGAGGAGCAGCGGGAAGAGCGAAACAGGGAGCGGGGAGAGGAGCAGAGAGGGGTGCGCGGAGATTCAGTGCGAATGAAGCTACTACTACAACACGCAGCAGCAAGCGGACTCTTTCTTTGCATTGAAAATTACGTTTTCAGACATAGGGTATCTCATTCGTGTCCTGAAAAACGTTTGTCTAGCTCTTGGAAATAAAGTACGTTTTCATAATATGCAGAAGTTTCCTGTCCAGAAGAAATTTGGCGACCAATGCGTCAGTCTTTAGACCCTGCGTCTGCTTCAGTCGTGCCATCGCTTGAATGAATCTTCAAGAATCACCTTAGTTTGGCTTCGCTGCTTTTCCCCTTGTCTTCTTCTTTCAGCGACCTCAAAAACGGACTTTCTTTTATGGCTAACTGCTCCTGGATTCTTGTCGCCATTGCAACAAACTTTGTGTTAACTGCGAGGAAGATATAGGTCAAAAAAGCCGCTAAGAACTGTTGCGTTGGTGGAGTAAACAGCGTCTGTGCGTCTGTGGACTGCGTGACAGGTGTATGTAAACCACGTAATGGCAGCGCGCAGGCAAGTCAGTTAGCTAGAAACGTAGGGAGTTTGATTGACAGCCTGTCAGCTAACAGATAACGAGGCAGTGTCGTTATCTTTTGGCAAATGTTTAGCCCCACCACGTCCAGAGATGATGAATTTTCATTCTGTTTTTTTTTTTTGGTCATCATAATTACAAGGCTACTGCATCTCTATAATGCTATCATTGACAATTTGAAACAAAAAAAATCTTCCATACAACCTTTAAGGTACCATAATTTTAGCAGCCACCCATCTGTATTTAATAATATTGGCCTATAGAATGTTATGACGTCATCTAGAACTCAGCGATAGGAGTATGGAGGGAGTATGACATCATGCCTCTGTGCACAAAGGCTTTATAATATGAGAAACTGCACTTTTGTTTTCCACTACTTCTTTTCCTAATAAATGTCCTGTGCACTTGTGTTGCAGTTCTTCCCGTACGTGCTCCTCCTAGTGGCCGTGCTCATGTACATCCCGGCTCTGTTCTGGAGGTTCTCAGCTGCCCCCCTCCTGCAGTCTGACCTGGCCTTCATCATGGAGGAACTGGACCGCTGCTACAACCGCGCCGTTACTCTAGCCAAGCACCTCAGCTCCTCCACCAGGTACCCCCTACACCCTAAAAACATGTCAGCCATTTTTCATTCTACGGAACAGACTCGATACTCGATACAGATTCCTGTACAATCATGATAATAAAAACTCGCTTTCTTTACACAGAATGTGATTTTCAACATTAAATAATAGTACTGCTTTTTCTATTCCCATGTGGCCTTGTATCTGTAATGCCTCAGTGGTCCAGGTAGGTTTCATAGTCATTCAGGAAAGGTTCATTTCTGTCCTGTGAATGGGATTTTTTTGCTCAAATGAGGATCTAGTTTTGACACTAATTTTAGTATTGATGAGGATCTTATTTGTGATACTTTTGACAACCCTACGCAGAACAAAGATGTGAAAGTCAATGGATCCAACTATGTTCTATGTTTCAGAAAAGGTAAAATAATTTTAGTTCTAGTTTTGTACTTCTTCTTTTGTACTACTTGTCATCTTTCAGCTCTCAAAAATGAGACTCGGATTGTCGTGTCATAGATGAAACTCCATATTTTTCCTGTGCAGTTTTTATGGCCCATAAACCATCACTAGATTCTGTGGTCAAATTTTGTTCACAACAAATGCATGGCTGTGTTAGCAGGAGGACGACATTTGTTTCCTTCCTGATTGTTCATTCCCGTTGCTGACAGCAGAGGGAGCTCTACCGCCTAAATGCCTCATTGGAAACAGAGGTGCCATGTATGGTCAAATAGAAAATAGCCACATTTTTATAAAGTGCTTTTTTGCCTTCAAGGCACTTGAAGAGCTTGTGAAAAAAAAAAAAGAAACGTTTAACAGAGAATTAAAGCCACAAGAATGCATCTGTTCTTTAAATACTATAAATACTATATTTGCAAGTTATATCCATGCCTACTGCAAATCATAACAACACCAGAAGAATGAAAGTATCAAAACTGAGTTTTGATACTTTAAATCTTTAATACTAATGATAATAATGCTAAAACTACAGTAGTATTGAAACCAAATACTCATTTGAGCAGGTATCAATACTAGTACTAGTATCAATACTGTACAAAGTACTTAAACTTAAACTTGGTGGGAGGAGAGATCGGTGTATCTATGTCCTTTGTGTGTCCTCTGCAGTGACCTGAGTGAGGGAAGTTTTAATTACCCCCTGGTGGAGCGCTTCTTGATGACAAAGCGCAGTGGGCGGAGCCTGCTGCTGTACTACCTGCTGTGCCGCGCTCTCACCCTGCTCACCCTGCTGTGCACCTGTGTATACCTGAGCTACTACCTGCGCCTGGCCTCTGTCACAGACGAGTTTGGGTGCTCGCTACGGGTGGGCCTGCTCCTGTCAGACCTCAGCGTGCCAGAGAAGGTGCAGTGCAAACTCATCGCTGTGGGGGTCTTCTCCCTGCTCAGGTGAGAGGGCAGGGACATACACAGTGGACACATTCACACTCTGTCAGGAGAGTTTCCAAACTATTGAGCACACGTGAATATAATAAATATAAAATATATACACGCACGCACACACACACACACACACACACACACATACACACATATATATACATATATATATATATATATATATATATATATATATATATATATATATATATACATATATAAGCCGCACTTGTCTGTAAGCCGCAGGTGTTGACATTGTCACTGGAGATATTTATGCAGAAAGATGGTACACAGATATATTTTTCATGAAATACCGGTACATGCTTCTTTCGAGCAGTGCCTGTAACACGGCAGTAAAACGACAGTAAAACTGTCAGCCTGTGTCCTCTGGAACTCTGGAAGTCTGAAAATAAATTTTGCACCCCAAAGTGTGTGAAAAAAGTGGCTTATAGTACTGGTCCTGTATTACTACTTGTTAGACACCATTCTTTGACTTCAGATTGATTCATATATTTGACAGTGTAACAGTACTAAAGCTTGTGCGCAGTTGACAGAATTTCATCTTCTTTTGTGATGGATCCTACCTGTATACACAGACAGTTACAATAACCCTTACTTAATGAAGTCATTTTCTCAGAGAGTTTTTACTCTTAGACTTGTTTCATTTAGCCACATTTTGGTTTTCAATAGCTCCTCTTGTTGTGCCTGTGCCTCAGCTGCTGTATTAAACTAAAGTCATGTGTAAGTCATTCACTTGTGAATGTGCAAATCTTCTCCAATTCTTTCATATTGGAGAACAACAGAAAACATATGAGGACAGTGATTCTAATTAAAAAACAAACAAAGGTATAATGTCTTTATAAACAGACTCTGGTACACTGTTGTCTTAATGGGCTGCTGTGTGATTCAATCTGTTCTGTTTTGTGTCTCTCAGTATGGTGAACCTCATCGTCTTTGTGGCTCTGATGCCTGTGGTGATCTACTCCAGTCTCCGCCCTCTCTTTTGCCAGCGATACGCCCGCTTCCTGGAAACCTACCAATCCCTGCCCACCGTGAGTGTCCTGCCCACCTCTGCTGGCCACTGGGATGACCTCTCTCTATGCATACTTTTTCTGGAAGAGAACATCAGTGAACTGAAGTCCTACAAATACATCAAGGTATGTCCAAGAAGCATTTCTTTAAAGGTGCATTGCATAACTTTTCTGCTGGAGGTGTGCCACTTGCTTGTTTCTGAGGAGATAGACCTGTGATGATAATTACGGTACTGTATCAACTTATCATTCAATATATGAAAGCTGGAACAATATTTTTTTTATTCATGGGAAGATTTTGGTTATTTTTCTGTACTCACATATGATTTTAGCTTTAGAAGGTTGAATTAGAAACATCTCATTTTAGATACAAAATGACCACTTAAAGGTCTTATATAATGCTAAATTGTGAACCTTAAGCCTTGTTATAATGCTGTTGCCTCATTAAAATGATATCTGGAGTTGTGTTTGAGTAACCCTTTGTTATGAGTCTGTCTATGTTTCCAAAGCTTGTAGAGAGACTTTGCTTTACTTTATGAAGTCATGTAGTGGTAGTTTTCAAGTGAACAGCTCCTTTTACCTTTAGTTCAGTAGAAATTGGCAATTCCAGGGCTGAAATGGTCCAAGTGATTCTAGTGAAGGTGTATGGAGTTTAAAAACCTCCTTTATTACTGCATGACATCACAAGGTAAAGGTTTCAGTTTGAGAAACAAACTAAATATGCAGGATTTGTGTGTTAAATGTGCATGAATGAAACAAAACACAACTCCGTGTATGTTTGTGATTATTATAACATCAGTCGGGTAAAATACAGTAATATGGGCCTTTTAAGTGTTGCATTCTCTTATCTATTTATTGCAGTCTTTCATGTTTTACAATATTGTTTATTTAGAATACTTCTTTTGGGATAATTCTGCTTCATGGGTTGTTTCAGTATAATTGTTTATCTTTTTTTTTACTTCAGCAATATATCACACTTCAGTTGTGTTATTGTGACATTGTGCCCAAATACAGGAAATTGGGTACAGGGCCTTTAATGCCATACTTTGAATGGGCAATAATATGTCAGTGTTACAAGCAACAGCATGTCCTGGGTCATCCCTGGGACCTCTCCCCATTGGGACATGAACACCTCCCCAAGTAGGCGTTCAGAGGCAGAGTCCAGAGTGGAGGAGCAGCAGCTCTATTGCGAGCTCCTGTGGGAGGAAACTCATTTGGACCTCTATCTGCGATCTCAAAGGAGTGTTGAACACACTCAAAAATAAAGTCCAAAATAAGGACAAGATCTCTAAACTAAACTAAACCTTCTATTCATGTGAATATACAGACGTGTTCAAAATTGTTTATACCCTCTTGGCAATGAAAAAAAAAAATCAACAATCATCACTGAAATAACCTGAAAATAATAAAAGCAATAATAAATAAAAATTTACTGAAAATTGTCCAACAAAAATCAAACATTGTTTTTCACCTGTGGTTCAACAGAATCATTAGAAAAAACAAAATAATGAAACTGGCCTGAAGAAAACAACCTTTTGAGGAAATCTCTGCAAACATATGATTTCTGTAACTGTCAATGAGACTTCTGCTCTGTTTTTTTGATCCATCTCTTGTAAGTAAACTGCTCTAGTTGTCTCAGGTTTGAAGGGTTCCTTCTCCAGACAGCGTGTTTCAGCTCCTTTCACAGATGTTCAGTAGAATTGAGATCTGGGCTCACAGAAGAACACTCCAGAACAGTCCAGTGTTTTGTTCTTAGTCATTCTTGTGTGTTTTTAGTTGTGTGTTTTGGGTTATTATCCTGTTGGAAGAACCATGATCTACAACTGAGACCAAGCTTTCTGACACTAGGCAACACATTTTGTTCCAAAATACCTTGATAGTTTTGAGATTTCATTGTGCCCTGTCAAGACACCCTGTGCCAGATGCAGCAAAACAGCCCCAGAACAAAACCAAGTCTCCTCCATGTTTCACAGTAGGAACAGTGTTCTTTTCTTGGTCTGCTTCATTTTTGCGTCTGTGAACATAGAGCTGATGTGTCTTGTCAAAGAGTATTATCTTACTACCACTGAGTGTTGAGTGAATGAATAATGAACTGTAAAGTGCTTTGGGTATCTTGAAAGGTGCTATATAAATGCAATGATTAATTATTTATTTAATTAATTAATTAAATTAATCTGTCCAAAGGACATTCTCCCAGACGCTTTTTGACTTGTTAATATGCATTGTGACAAATTCCAGTCTCCTTTTTTATGATTTTCTCAACAGCGGTGTCGTCACATGAAGTCCACTTTGGTTCAAACAGTGATGGATGGTGTGATCTGACACTGATGTACTTTGCCCTTCAAGTTCACTTTTAATTTCTTTGGAGGTTGTTCTGAGCTCTTTGGTTCCATTTGTATGATCCATCTCTTCAATTTGTCATCAATTTCCCTCTTTTGCCACGGCCAGGGAAGTTGGCTTTAGTCCTGTGGACCTTAAACCTCTGAAGAACACGTGTAACTGTAATCACAGGAACATCAAGCTGCTTGGAGATGGTCTTATTGTCTTTATCTTTAACCTGCTTGTCTATTATTTTCTTTCTAGTCTCCTGACACAGTTCTCTTCTTCTCTTTCTCTGGTCCATGTTCAGTGTTGTGTCCATCATGTTTCCAAACATCACAATGACACATGTCCCCCTTTAAACAGACAGTTTATGTTTTAGTATTTACAATCTTTTCTAAGGGCACCATCATTTTTGTCCATCCATCCATCCATCCATTTTCGTCTGCTTATCCGGGGCCGGGTCGCGGGGGCAGCAGCCTAAGCAGGGACTCCCAGACTTCCTTCACCCCAGACACGCCCAGCCACCCTGCGGAGGAAACCCATTTCAAGCGCTTGTATCCGCAATCTCGTCCTTTTGGTCACTACCCAGAGCTCATGACCATAGGTGAGAGTAGGAACGAAGACTGACCGGTAAATCGAGAGCTTCGCCTTTCGGCTCAGCTCCCTCTTCACCACAATGGTCCGATACAGCGACCGCATCACTGCCGAAGCTGCACTGATCCGCCTGTCAATCTCACGTTCCGTCTTTCCCTCACTCGTGAACAAGACCCCGAGATACTTGAACTCCTCCACTTGAGGCAAAGACTCCCCACCCACCCGGAGAGGGCAAGCCACCTTTTTCCGGTCGAGAACCATGGCCTCAGACTTAGAAGAGCTGATCTTCATCCCAGCCGCTTCACACTCGGCTGCAAACCGCCCCAGTGCACATTGCAGGTCCTGGCTCGATGAAGCCAACAGAACAACATCGTCCGCAAACAGCAGAGATGAAATCCTGTGGTCCCCAAACCGGACCCCCTCCGGCCCCTGACTGCGCCTAGAAATTCTGTCTATAAACACAATGAACAGAACCGGTGACAAAGGGCAGCCCTGGCGGAGTCCAACACGCACCGGGAACAGGTCTGACTTACTGCCGGCAATGCGAACACAGCTCCTGCTCCGGTCATACAGGGACCGGACAGCCCTTAGCAAAGGGCCCCGGACCCCATACTCCCAGAGCACCCCCCACAGGACACCACGAGGGACACGGTCGAATGCCTTCTCCAGATCCACAAAACACATGTGGACTGGTTGGGCAAACTCCCATTAACCCTCGAGCACCCGATGGAGAGTGTAGAGCTGGTCCAGTGTTCCACGGCCAGGACCAAAACCACACTGCTCCTCCTGAATCCGAGGTTCGACTATCGGCCAATTCTCCTCTCCAGTACCCTGGCATAGACCTTACCGGGAAGGCTGAGAAGTGTGATCCCCCTATAGTTGGAACACACCCTCCGGTCCCCCTTCTTATACAGAGGGACCACCACCCCGGTTTGCCAGTCCAGAGGTACGGTCCCCGACCGCCACGCGATGTTGAAGAGGCGTGTCAGCCAAGACAGCCCCACAACATCCAGAGACTTCAGGTACTCAGGGCGGATCTCATCCTACCCCGGAGCCTTGCCACCAAGGAGCTTGCCAACCACCTCAGTGACTTCGGCCAGGGTGATGGATGAGTCCGCCTCCGAGTCCCCAGCCTCGGCCTCCTCCTCGGAAGACGTGACGTTGGGATTGAGGAGATCCTCAAAGTATTCCTTCCACCACCGGACAACGTCCCCAGTCGAGGTCAGCAGCTCTCCCCCCGCACTGTAAACAGTGTTGGTGAAGAACTGCTTTCCCCTCCTGAGGCGCCGGACAGTTTGCCAGAATTTCTTTGAGGCCGTCCGATAGTCCTTCTCCATGGCCTCCCCGAACTCCTCCCAGCTCCGAGTTTTTGCCTCCGCGACCGCACGGGCTGCAGCACGCTTGGCCCGCCGGTACCCGTCAGCTGTCTCAGGAGTCCCCCGAGCCAGCAAGGCCCGATAGGACTCCTTCTTCAGCTTGACAGCATCCCTTACTTCCGGTGTCCACCACCAGGTTCGGGGATTGCCGCCGCGACAGGCACCACAGACCTTACGCCCACAGCTCCGAGCAGCTGCATTGACAATAGAGGCCGAGAATGAAGCCCACTCGGACTCCATATCTCCGGCCTCCCCCGGAATCCGGGGGAAGTCCTCCCGGAGGTGCGAGTTGAAGGTCCCTCTGACAGAGGGCTCCACCAGATGTTCCCAACAGACCCTCACTACACGCTTGGGCCTGCCAGGTCTTTCCGGCTTCCTCCTCCGCCAGCGAACCCAACTCACAACCAGGTGGTGATCAGTTGACAGCTCAGCCCCTCTCTTCACCCGAGTGTCCAAGACACGCGGCCGGAGATCAGATGACACGACTACAAATTCGATCATCGACCTCCGGCCTAGGGTGTCCTGGTGCCACGTGCACTTATGGACACCCTTGTGCTCGAACATGGTGTTCGTTATGGACAAACTGTGACTAGCACAGAAGTCCAATAACAAAACACCGCTCGGGTTCAGATCAGGGAGGCCGTTCCTCCCAATCACCCCTCTCCAAGTGTCACTGTCGTTGCCCACGTGGGCGTTGAAGTCCCCCAGGAGAACAACGGAGTCCCCGGTCGGTGCACTGTCTAGTACCCCTTCCAAGGACTCCATGAAGGCCGGGTACTCAGCACTGCTGTTCGGCCCGTAGGCCGACACCACAGTGAGAGACCTGTCCCCGACCCGAAGGCGCAGGGACGTGACCCTCTCGTTCACCGGGGTGAACTCCAACACACAGCGGCTGAGCTGTGGGGCAATGAGCAGGCCCACACCAGCTCACCGCCGCTCCCTGCGGCCAACGCCAGAGAAATGGAGAGTCCAGCCCCTCTCAAGGAGTTGGGTTCCAGAGCCCAAACTGAGCGTTACCGAATAGATATAGTCGGCCTCACCTCCACGCACAATCTCCCGCACCAGCTCAGGCTCCTTCCCCCCCAGCGAGGTGACATTCCATGTCCCCAGAGCTAGTCTCCATGTCCGGAGATCCGGTCGTCGAGGCCCCCGCCGTCGACTGCCGCCCAGATCTCTCTGCACCGGCCCCATATGGCTCCTCCCGCGGGCGGTGGGCCCACGTGAGGGCGGCCCCATGTCGCTTCTTCGGGCTAAGCCCGGCCGGGCCCCGTGGGGGAAGGCCCGGCCACCAGGCGCTCGCTGACGAGCACCCACCCCAGGCCTGGCTCCAGGGTGAGGCCCCGGTGACGCCAATCCGGGCGACGTAACTGGCCTCTGTGCTGTACTCATCATGTAGGGCTTCTGAACCGTTCTTCGTCTGACCCGTCCCCCCGGACCTGTTTGCCTTGGGTGACCCTACCAGGGGCATGAAGCCCCCGACAACATAGCTCCCGGGATCATTCGGGTACTCAAACCCCTCCACCACGATAAGGTGACGGTTCAAGGAGGGGCAGGCCAGTTTCATTATTTTTTATTATTTTTTATTATTATTCTGTTAAACAACAATTCAAAGGTAGTGTCTGATTTTCATTGGTTATTTTTCAGTGTATATATATATATATATATATATATATATTTTTTTTTTTATTATTGCTTTTCTTAGTTTCAAGTTATTTCAGTGACTATTGTTGGTTTTTTGTCCATTACCAGAGGGAAACCAACAATTTTGAACATGTCTGTAGTTGCATGAAAAACATCCTAGAATAAGTCTCCTACCTGTCCTGTGATGAGTAGACATTGGGTTTTCTTGTTTGGTTAGGTGCTGGAGATGCTCCGAAGGCGGGGCGAGTGTGCGGGGGAAGACTTCGACTCCATGGGGCTGCTGCAGACTCTCTGTTTGGTTAAGACTGATGCTGTGGATGGACTCAAAGCCAAAAACACCAACAACTGTGAGGCCAGAAGCACCCCAGCAGAGGGCAGTGCAGAACAGCCAACCGAGATGAAAGGTACAACACATTCAGAAGAGTCTTTTCTCATGTGTCATGTCTGTTTAAACTCCCTCTGATGATTACTGATAGAACACTTAAAAGTATATTACACAGAAGTAGACTCTTTAAGCCATGTTAGAATGCTGTTAACTCCTCAAAAACATACCTGGAGTTGTGTTTTGTTTCATTCATGTTTGAGTAATGTTGCTATATGAGCCTACTAGTCTACTAATGATGCACAGTCTGTAACCTGTGGGACTGTTGGGTTTTGGTGGGTCCAGTTTAACTTAAAATGGCTTAAAAGTTAGGACAATAAATGTCACTTAAAGCTATTTCTGTAGCCCTGATTACGAGATGAGGGCATAGAGTTTAAAAACACAGTGGAACACTTTCTGTGATCACAAGATGGACACAAGGTGTGTTTTCTGTTTGAGAGCAAAACTCAAAATATAAAATATGCAAAGTTTGTGTTTTAAACATGAATGAACAAAACACAAGTCTGTGTATGTTTGTGATGGGGAAACAACATTATAACTTATAACAAGAAAGGGTCCTAATAGTTTCAAAAGACTGATGTTGGACAATTGAACCTGGCAGCCATAGTTGCTCTACTGTTATTTCAGGTAGTTTTTTGCCATAAGAAGTGTAGTGTGCTTCAAGCTTCAGAGTGATCTTATGAAAGGCACTCTCTGTACTATTGTAGCCACAGCTGCCCTGGGGCAGAACAGATAGACTGAAGTGTGACTGGCAATCTGCACCCTCGGCCCCTCCCACCACCACCAATCATTCATGCACACACTACATTCAAGTGTCTAAGGACACAATGACTGAACTTTATTTGAGTGGGAATCAAAGTTGGGGACCACTGCCCTAACCACTGAGCCACTGTGCTCCGGACAAAACTTCTACAAACTTCTAAATTCATTTAAAGTTGTCTCTTGTGTTTCAGAGCTCCATCCTCTTCTCAAAAGAAAGACCGACTTGAGCTGAGGAAACCCTCTCTGCCCCCCCTGCCTGGCTGCTGTGTGCCTTAGAGACTCTTTTGCTTGCTGTTTTCCTGTATGGAAAGTGCTGTTTACAAAGTACAAAGTTGAATTGTGCCTTTTCTATTTATTACAGGTGTTTGTTATAAATCGTGTATCAGGGTCGAACATTATCAGCTGGGAGAGGTGTTTAGCACTTAGATACTGTGGAGGACATTTCAAAGCAGTGTTTGCTGTAAAGAGAAGTGCCATATGATTCTAAAACAAGAAGTGTCTGAACATGCTGTGAGCTGCTGGCTTTCATTGACTTCACTTTAATTCTTACAAACAAATGTTTTTATAAGGTGTGACTTTGACATGATATACAGTGCTGCATGGATGGTACATTTGACCTATTTTGTGAAAATAAAGTCATTCTGTTTGACCTGTGAATGTGCTTTTACTGGTGACACGGAGGTTACAGGAACATTGCCTATTACAGCTCTCTTTACAACAAAATAAGACACTTTCAAGAGCCAAAAACCTCTGGTGCAATAATGAGGACTTTTCCGATGGTTGATTCCAGCTGACCACGTGTGTGTGTGTTTGACTAAAGAAACAAACCATAGGACCTGTATCTTCAGTGGCCCATATGTTCACGGTCTTTAAACGGAGGCATGAATGCTCCTGGACATGTTGTAGGCATATACAGCAAATTGAATGATGTTGTTATGAACCGTAAGAAAATCTGCACTCACACACTGTTAGTCTTTATAAGCGTAGTACATCCATGGTGTAAGCCTGTATTTGAATAGATCGTGGCCTGTATTCTGTACTATGTACTGTCTGTGTAGTCTGTGCTGTGTATTGTGTTCTGTGTACTCTGTACTGTGTACTCTCTGTACTGTGTACTCCGTTTAAAGGAAGTGCCCCCTCTCTCCTCCGCGCATGCGCAGAGCCGCACACACGGAGGTCTAAGCAGGACACGCACAGGCCGCAGCGCGGAGTCTTCTTCTGCTCAGGTTCTTCTCGCTCTACTTCTACTGTGTTTGCTATTTGGCGTTAGTTTAACAACAACAAGAACATATTATTCCTTCTTAGGACCCATTTGAAACAACCCAATCCGCGTGGGAGCGACGTGAAAAAGAGCGGAACAAGGTAAGGCTCATTAGGGCTAAGCTACGGCGTGCTGACGCCATTGTTTGACTGTAATGGAGGAGGCCGTTTGCGGCTTTTCTGCAGGACATGTCCTGTACCTCAGGAGTGAAATGACAGAGGACTCGTTACATAAAACTATCTGTTTATTTGAAACCCAAATATCAGATTCTACTGAATCGTAGGGGTCGGAATCTCGTTTAGTTTTATTCTAACGTCGTGCCTTATATTCTTCACCCGCTTCCGCTCGCCTGTGTTTGTGCTGTTGAGACCGTCTGGACACCGCTGTACGACCATACATGTGCCGTATGACCCGTTGTGTAACTGCTGTGCTGCGCGTCCTGTGTACTGTTTGTCAGGCTGATCTAATGTTTCTTTAGTGGTGCGTACGTTTGGCGCGCTCAGTGGTTGCAGTACTGCACTGTGGCGGCGCTTCGTCTCTCACTTGTTTTGACCCAAACTGAACTCTCACTGACAAAAATGGCTTGTTCTTTATCAACAGACCTGGGCCATGTCGTACTACTCATCTTCCCGGAGTTCTTCTCGGGCCCCTGATTGCAAAGTTTATGTGGGTGATTTGGGCAACGGTGCAGCCAAAGGAGAGCTGGAGAGAGCCTTCAGTTATTATGGGCCCCTGAGGAGTGTGTGGGTGGCCCGGAACCCTCCCGGCTTTGCCTTTGTAGAGTTTGAAGACACCAGGGACGCTGAAGATGCTGTTAAAGGCATGGATGGAAAGTAAGTGGAGCTTGTTGTTTTTCTATAATTGGGAAAGTTGCAGTTGGATTTACATGTTTGTCTTTCCTCAGGGTGCTGTGTGGCTCTCGTGTTCGGGTAGAGATGTCTACAGGCCTCTCCAGGAAGGGCCGTGGGCGTCCTAGCCGCCGCCAGTTTGATCCTAATGATCGGTGCTATCAGTGCGGGGACAGAGGCCATTACGCCTATGACTGCTACCGCTTCAGCAAGAGGGGAGGAGGAGGTGGAGGAGGAGGGCGCCGCAGCAGGTCTGTATCAACTCATCCTAATGACAAACAACCACTTAGTCTATGTGCTCACTGGTATCATTTAGTATTCTATGCACAAGGCACTTAAGCTTTAGTTTGGGAGCTGGAGGTTTACAGTGTGTGTTTTTCAGGTCCCGGTCTCGCTCTAGGTCCCGCTCGCGTTCTCATGGCCGCCGCTACCGTTCCCGGTCTCGCAGCCGCAGTTACAGCAGGTATGTGTTTAGCTCCACCTGCAGGGCACTTTACACACTGTGCCTACAATTAATGTGGTGTGCACAGTCCAATAGCTACCCCAGGGCAGCTGTGACGACAATTGTATCTTAACACCACTCAGTAAAATGGTTTGGTTGTCTTAGACTTGGACAAACTTTATTGACCCACAAGGAAATTAATTTCTTTAGAGGTGCTGTATGTACATTATTATGTCAGAAGACGAGTTTTAACATTGTCTTTGATTCCAGGAGCCGCCGTCGCTCTCCTTCTTACTCCCGGCGCAGAAGCAGGTGAGCACAGAGATGTTGAGATGCACACAATCTCACAAAGTTGCCCTTAGAAAAAGAACATAAACTGGACATAAAGTTACCATGTCCTTAGTTGAATTTGAATCAAATAATAAATGACTCTTTGTAGTCTTATTCGAATGTCTAAACATGTGGGCTTGGCAGTTCAGAGTTGGATCATAAATGTTTTTGAATTAATTAGGTAAAAAGTGTATATTTTGTCTCCAGGTCTGGCTCCCCTGCACGCTCCAAATCCAGGACTCCGGTCAGAAGGTAGGTGGATCATCTGAAGCCCCCATATGGCTCCAAGCCAAACTGTAGTATTCATGTGCTGGTCTTTCTTTATGGTGCCAATGTCTGTCTGTTTCTGCTTAAGTCGTTCTAGGTCTCGATCAGGCTCCGCCCCCAGGGGACGCTCTGTGTCTCGCTCCCGCTCTCGTTCTCGCTCATCTCACAAGAGGAACAGGTAAACTGTCCTTCCACTATCCCTCTTTACAATGCAGTAGTGCACTTGCTAGGCCTTGCATTAGTGAGATGCCATAACCACAGTCAAGGCCTAACTTCCCACGTGACTGGGATGGACTGGAGATCCTTGTTGAACCCTTGCAACAGAAAGCTGTGCGTGTGGTCCTCTGCAGCAGATTCAGGCTTTAGACAGTAGAAGTGGTGCAGAGCCCTGCCTGACCTTTAGGTCTATATGTGACACTGTGCTGTTTCTCCAAACGCAGGTAAAGAGTCGAACAAGATGGGCTCTGATAATCTTTTTTACGATCGGCTCTAATCGGTGACATTGCTTAGAGACTGAAACTAGTCAGAATAGATTGCTGTACGCCTATTTTTAAGTGCTCATCAAACATGCCTGACTGTAGCAATCGGTTTCACGAATATTGTAATTCAGACAAAGCGTTAGAATAAAAATCATTTTTGCAGTACAGTTTTGTTTATTTTTCATATTTTCTTTAAAGCCTATGGTGGGACCTGAGCACTGCATTGACACTGCAGCTGATCCCAGGCCCTTGTCCGTGTGTGCGTCCTGCGGGAGGGTGACTTAGCGCTGACCTGAGCAGCCACCTCCCCGTAGCCAAGTGTGTTCGACCGGCGCACACATAGAGTCGTTCTTCTAGAGTCAGCCAGCCTTCAGACGTACTGGGGGCTGATCCACACAGATCAGAGCTACAGCACTTTAAATCCATAACCCTACCTACCAGAGCCCCACTACCTACCAGAGTTCTGCAGCCTCTTAGCTTCTGACAGTCAAAGAGAGAGCTGACGAGAGATCAGTCTTCAAGACCCTGCGCGGTGTCTCTCCGAGTTGTAGTCATCCGTCCTTCAGTCCTATCATCCTTCGCTTCTCTGTACTTGTTGTTTCTGCTACTGTCTCCAAAGGTAACCAAAAATCAACCCCCTGAAAACATGTTGATGGATAACAGTTATTGGCGTATTTAGACAGTAGACCAGGCATCACGCATGTGCAGAATGTGTGCTTGTGAAAGGTGACTGTGTGTGTGAGACTCCTATGCAGTTTAAAGCAGGCCTGTGAGCTGTGAGTGTCAACACTGTTATCACAATGTTTCAACAATGTATCCCTGTGTTAACTGGGCACATGGGTGCTTAATGCAACTATACACTAGATCAAGTACAGATCTCGACAAAATGCAACAGCAGTGAGCGTTACTAATACCTCTTCTGTACCAAGTGCAGTCCCTCATTCTGCATTCATGGATCTAAACAGGGCAAACCCTTTCAAACCACATCACCCGGCATGTTTAGACTGTGAAATGTTTACTGAACATATAACATGGTGGTAGACCTTTAGTACTTTAATGCTGCCGGTGCTAACACCTGAGCAGTGAGAGCTAAACTCTGTCATGAGGCAAGTACAGGATTCTTGTTCCTTATTGGTCTTTCTCTAACTGTTCATCTCCATTTCAGTCGTTCCAGGTCGGCAAGCCCTGCCAGAAGCGCCACGCCAGCTGATGACTAAGGAGTGTTTTTCTGCTTGTAAACAGACCCTCAGCCCTATAGTGTATTCTATCTATTACAGCCCTACACGTAGTCCCAATGCACTGATGACTCTGAGGGCTCCTCTGTGTACTTGTCTGATTTAAAGGAGATTGGTATGTAGATTGACTGTCCTACTGAGTAGTGTGGCTGTGAGAAAGTCCAAGGTAATATTGCATGTTTCATTGAGTTTTAACATTTGCTTTGCAATGGAGCTGTTGGTATGTCAGCAATGCTTTTATAGAATAGGGCTTAAAACCTCCAAGATTTTGTTTTAATTGAGACTGTATATGTCCCATTTTTGTGTGCATTTGTCACATTCCTGCTGTTAAGGGTTCAATTTCTCCTGAGTGGATGCCAACTTCGCTTTGGACTTCAAGTGTGCTATTACCAGTTGACTCTTTTAAGGCAACAATGCATAGATTTGATTTCTCATGCTTGTGTAAAATTGGTGGCAGTTTTATTTTCGAATAAATATTTTGAATTTCAGTTGTCTTTTTCTTTGTTTATAAATGGGTTCACAGACCTGTGTTGATGGGACTACCACTCACATCACCTCTAGTGTTTAATTTGTGTTGTAAAATGTGAACAATTAAAGCACAATTGCAGTAACTTGGCTTGCATGTTATTCACACACGTTTGTGAGAATGAGTTGTGATATCCCTTTCTCGTTAATGGAGTTTAGATTTGGACAGTAATCATTTAGTCTTTGCTACATTTTATGATGCTCCAGAAGTGTGTTCGGCACAAAGCGTCTTTGTTTATAGTTCTTGTTAAATGTGTACCAAAGCCTCACGAAGAGTTCGCGTTTATCGGAACAGTCTGCACTGAGGCTTCCTCTAGTGATAACGGCCCTGAGTGGCCTTAACTAGGGCCAATCCGAGGCCGTGTGCCGTGAGCGTGGGCGGGCCTGGAGAGGCCCCCGGTGTGGGCCGGTCCTGGGTGGGGTGAACCGTCTGGAGACCTACGCGCTCCGGCTCCTTTTGAACCAGGACATCATGGCTACTGCAGCAAGCCGTTACTACAGCGAAGACGGCAGGGCAACAAAGAGGCAGAAAACCGACGGAATGGCCACTGTGAGTGCCTGTGCGGGTGAAACCACTCCATTAACACTGCACACCACTGCAGCGCAAAAACTATCACTTTAAATGCTATTTGTCGAGCGCTCACGATCATTCTATTTTCAGGTTCGCGAATGAATGCTCCCCATTTTGTCTGAACACTTTTGATACCATAGTAACGAACAAAATACGCATTATACATTACATTCGCGTTTTCTTTGAGATATTTTCTTGTAAATGGCTAATCAGTAAAATCAAGTCTAAAGGTTGAACACACCCGGGGCTTGTATGTTTGGCTTTGTTCTAGCCGCTAGCTTAGCATTATGCTAGCGTTAGTCATTAGCTAGCTCATGTAGCTAGCTTAGCAATGTAGCTAACTTTAGCCAAATCACGTGACCGTTGTCGCTGCACGTTTTGTCGAATGTTTCTCTTAGTTGGAGCTTTAGTTGATTAGACTGTGTTCCGTTTTCCTCGAGTACATGTTGGGAGCATGCTTTCACTCTCCTCATCCGTCTCTATGCTCCGTCAAACCGGTGATGGTGGTTTTCAGATTCTAGACTGATGATTCCATACTCTCAGATGGGGGGGGGAAGGGCCAGGTTTCCCTATTTCTCACATTGTATTTTGCCGATACACAAAAGGTAAATTCACAAATGTTGAACCTGTATTTTTCAATTACTGACTTCAGGGCTCACAGCATTACAACATAATTTTGCATTTTAACAATATTAATCTTAGCTGGCCTCGTCTGTATGAATGAATATTGTCCTATATAATACTGTGATGTCATCTGAAACCCAGCAATACCCACAGATTATTCAATGAGGCCACTTAATGCAAATGAGCCTCCATACCTGGATAATATATGTGAGGACCTGGGTACCTGCTGGTTCAGCCAAACTGCCATTTAGCCTCACAGCGTACAACTTAGACTTGACCCATTTGAATGCTCATATCAAATGTGTGAAATGTGTGGGACTTACAGGGGTATGAGGATCCACACAAGCCTCTCCCTTCTCTGGTGGTGCACGTACGAGGACTGGTGGATGGTGTTACCGAAGCAGATTTGGTGGAGGCGCTGCAAGAATTCGGCACCATAAGGTAGCAAACCCAAAACTATTGGTAGACTGGTATGAAGTAGCTGTCAAACTTGGCCTGATATTCACTACAGTTTTCTCATTAAAGCTATGTTGTTGTGATGCCTAAGAAGCGCCAAGCTTTGGTGGAATATGAGGACATGAATGGATCATCCACAGCTGTAACATATGCTGCTGACAACCAAGTTTACATTGCGGGCCATCCGGCTTTCATTAACTATTCCACTAGTCAGAAGATCTCCAGGCCTGGGGACTCAGATGACTCTCGCAGTGTCAACAATGTTCTCCTTTTTACCATCATGAACCCAATTTACCCGATCACTACAGTAAATGTCCTTTACTTTTCTCCATGGCGCCCTCACAGTAGAGATGCTCTCATTAACTTTTACCTTTGTATTGACAGGATGTTCTCTACACCATCTGCAACAACTGTGGCCCAGTTCAAAGAATTGTTATATTTCGGAAGAATGGAGTCCAGGCCATGGTTGAATATCCTTTTCACTATAACAGCTAATACACAAAACGTGTCCCTGCTTTACTTGGGTACTTCCTTAACCAAGTATTACATTTGATTCTGTGCAAAACGCCCAACGTGCCAAGGCATCTCTCAACGGCGCAGATATCTACTCAGGCTGTTGCACTCTCAAGATTGAGTATGCCAAGGTATTGTTTGATGGCTTAACACATTTCTTTTTACAGAGACTCCACAGGTGGGCTGCTTTTGTGATAAGCTAAAACTGGGCCAACATGTTGATTAGATCAGCGTAATTACACATATACAAGGCTTCAAGAACTAAAACCCATTGCATTTCTTGTAGTGATCTCATATCTTTTCAATGCCTTTCTTGACTTATGTTGAAATAGCACTGGCAGGAAAACATGTGACTGGCAGTTATCACTGTGCTTAATTCTGCATGCCCAGTTTGTGCTTATTATGTTCTATGTTTTTCTGTTCTCAGCCTACTCGTCTGAATGTGTTTAAGAATGATCAAGACACTTGGGACTACACAAACCCTAATTTGGGCGGACCAGGTAACGGTTCTAACAAATGTACTTGTGCTCTAGTGCATGTTGACTGTGGGTGGGTTGTGTGGGTACAGTTGAGTCTGTTCAACCAAATTGATTTGTGAGACAAATGTTTGGTCACGCATATTCTTTACTGTAGAACACTCAAAACCAAGTCGCCCACTGCTGAATTGTTCAGTGTTGATCATTTCCTCACCTGTTAGTCCTTTTGTGTGTGTTCATTGGTCCTACATTATATAATCCTAAATACAACCATTTAGCCATGTTTGCTGAATATTTTGGGTAAAAGGTAGTTATTGCAGGTTGTGAGTGTGAGATTTGGGTCTTGGAGGATAAGGTTTGGCAAAATATTGCTGCAGCATACAGTCTTTCCAGCTGTGAGAAACTGCAAAATAGTAGTTTTCTCAAGTATTTTATACAGATGACTAAAATACTCCTTAATGAAGCATGGGGGACACTCCTTATATGGTGACTGTAGACAACAACTATATCCAGTTGTCTCTTATGTCCAGTCATTACGTGACAAACACTAAGCAGACTCATGTCACAACCTGTCTAGAATGGCTAGATGTGAGCCACCAGGGCAGTGCACACTTTATGGGGGGCTGACCTACACTGCAGCCCCCCTACTCATTACATCAGACAGCTGATCGGATCTCCACAATTCTAAACTAATAAAGCAAAAGAAAGCCAAAGGATAGCAGCACACTACAGATGAGACACAAGAACACGAACACTACAGATGAGACACAAGAACACAAACACTACTGATGAGACGTGAGAGCACCCGAACTGATGAGACGTGAGAGCACCCGAACTGATGAGACACGAGAACTCCCGAACTGATGAGACACGAGAACATCAGAACTGATGAGACACGAGAACTCCCGAACTGATGCGACACGAGAACACCAGAACAGATGAGACACGAGAACATCAGAACACCAGAACAGATGAGACACGAGAACATCAGAACACCAGAACAGATGAGACACGAGAACATCAGAACACCAGAACAGATGAGACACGAGAACATCAGAACACCAGAACAGATGAGACACGAGAACATCAGAACACCAGAACTGATGAGACACGAGAACATCAGAACACCAGAACTGATGAGACACGAGAACATCAGAACACCAGAACTGATGAGACACGAGAACATCAGAACACCAGAACTGTTGAGACACGAGAACATCAGAACACCAGAACTGATGAGACACGAGAACATCAGAACACCAGAACTGATGAGACACGAGAACATCAGAACACCAGAACTGATGAGACACGAGAACATCAGAACACCAGAACTGATGAGACACGAGAACATCAGAACACCAGAACTGATGAGACACGAGAACATCAGAACACCAGAACTGATGAGACACGAGAACATCAGGACACGAGAACATCAGAACACCCGAACTGATGAGACACGAGAACATCAGGACACGAGAACATCAGAACACCCGAACTGATGAGACAGCAGAACACCAGAACACCCGAACTGATGAGACAGCAGAACTTAGTTAATCAGTTAATTCATTTATTTTTTATTATTGGATTTCAGTAGCGTCTTTCAAGACACCTAAATCACTTGATAATGCATTAGTCATTCACTCAACACTGATAAACTACTGTTGTAACCACCATTGCCCTGGGGCAAACTGATGGAATGGGACTGATGAGACAACAGAACACTGCTGATGAGGCATCAGAACAACAGAACATTGCTGACAAGACACCAGAACTGATGAACATAACTGACAGACACCACTTAACAGTCATTTCCCTACATGGAGTTTAGTTTTCCTTGCTACTACTAGCTGCCTTGTTTAAGTAGTTTTTGTGAGTATTCCCTTTCTGCTGAAGCTGCTCAAACCTGTATAACACCTTCCATGTGATGCAGGTTTGGCAATTTGCAGTCAAAGAGGAACCTGCTTCTCAACTGAATTGTTCTGTGTGGTGACCCTACAGCCTACTGATGCAAGCTAAAGTGGACTTTTCCTAACAAAACACAAAAAATGGTGCCAAGCGCCTCAATAATGGCAGATTCCTCCTCGGTGAAGATGGTTTTGCTCGTCAGTGGAAATGGACTAAATAAGTACAAGTGGTGGAACTGCTGTGTTTGTAGCTTGCAGTAAGTAACCTGAGCCTTCCCAAGAACACAGCACAGCAGCACCAACACTGGCACACACGCTGAGGGCCCAGTCTCACTCCTCTACAACATGTGCTGGACATGTGTACGAGGGAGTGTCTGTGAGTTGGTACTCACTAAGCGTTTATAAAGAGTAAAAGTGGTCTACGCTAAAAATCCAACACTTTATTTGAGTCATTATCTCTTATCCCCAATAGAAAAATTAGCCTTTGAAAATACATAACATTCACTTTTTCATGGCAATATTTCTTTTGAGCAACATATAGATTGTTTAATTTGATAAATGTTTTGTCAGATGACTCAAATGCCAATCCAAACAAGCGTCAGAGGCAGCCAGCACTTCTGGGAGACCACCCCCCAGAGTATGGTGAGTGCTGGTTTAAAGCTGAATATGCATGTAGTATTCAGACTAGAAACTGGAGGAAGCCAGTATCCTGCTTTTAAAGTGCTATGTCCCTCTACAGGAGGAGGATATCATGGTTACGATGAAGGCTATGGATCACAACCTTATGAGGGCCGGCGCATGGGCCCTCCAATGAGAGGTCGAGGAGGAAGGGCATATGGACCCAACTATGGGCCCCCGCCCCCTCCCCCAGGAGAGTATGGGGCCCATGCTGATTCTTCTGTGGTCATAGTCTATGGGCTCGAGCCAACCAAAATAAATGCAGACAGGGTCTTCAACATTTTTTGCCTTTATGGCAATGTTGAGCGGGTGAGTAATGATGTAATGTAATCATGTTTGTCATGTGTATATAATAATCATGCTATGCTCATTATTATCTTTCATTTCTTTTTAACCAAAGAAACACTTCATCCAAAGCCATAATGTTGATTTGTGTTTAGGGTATTAACTGTGTTTCTATAACACATTTCTTGTAACCAGTACAGACTAAGCTTTAATGCGTCTTTGCTGCTGCTGTTGCTTTTAGGTGAAATTTATGAAAAGTAAGCCTGGTGCAGCTATGGTTGAAATGGGGGATTGCTTTGCTGTGGACCGTGCTTTAAGTCATCTCAACAACACTTTCCTTTTTGGACAAAAGTTAAATGTGTGGTGAGTAAAACTGGTTACTGCTAGAAGAAATGACTTTCCTCCTCTTTCACTCTTCTATGCCCCTCTTATTTTTCAATCTGTTTTAAAGTGTGTCCAAGCAGCAGGCCATTGTGCCCGGACAATGCTACGAATTGGAAGATGGAACAAGCAGTTACAAGGATTTCCACGGCACAAGAAATAATCGCTTCACCTCTCCAGAACAAGCAGCTAAAAACCGCATTCAGCATCCCACCAATGTCTTACACTTCTTTAATGCTCCACCAGATGTCACTGTAGAGGTTTTCACACAGGTTTGTGAGAAGAAGATTCCAAATGTTTATCAGGCTTTGTGTTGCCAGATTTGAAACAAGTCTCTTACGTGTTTTCAGATGTGTGAGGAAGTCGGTGTGAAGAATCCTGCGGATGTTAAAATGTTCACTGGAAAAAGTAAACACACTTTGTTTTCACTTTCTACCATCTCATTTCTCTACAACTTAAGCTTAGTGACATTTTGTTATTCCTGTTGAGGTGGTGCTGCCCCAAGTGACCGGAGCGCTTCAGGCCTGCTGGAGTGGGAGTCTATCAACGATGCTATGGAAGCATTAGCTATGCTGAACCACTATCAGATGAAGAATTCAGGTACTTGGATGGGTTAACATTTTCCATAGTATTGTCATTCCATTTGAATAAGGGATGTGAAATAAAATCCAGACTGCTATTGAAAATATGCCACAGCTGACATGAGCAGCTCCTGTATTTAAAGGTTTGACTCAAAGCTCTGCATGTGTCATGTTGTGCCTTTTGAGCCACACTACACATGAACTTTAAGCCATGTTAAAGCCTTGTTTTTGTGTTCTGTTTTGTATTCTAGCTGGACCTTACCCATACACCCTGAAGTTGTGCTTCTCCACTGTGCAGCATGCAAACTAAAGCAGAATGAAGTCCTGTTTGGAAGAGAGATTTTCACATGTTTAGAGGATGTACATCATGTCTTGTAACATACTTTTTTACTGATTTAGTTTTGCATTTTATTTTCTGCTTGTTGGGCTCCTCCGTGTCCCTTGATTGGCTTGTTCTGTGTTTTTTTGTTATTTTTTCAGTTTTATTGCATTAAACAAGGTGGATTCATATTCACCATCCTTACAGGCCATAATGAGTAGGTTTACATGGGTTGGTTTTAATATGTTAGTAAATAGATGGTTGGCAGTGCCAATGTTTTACTCCATTGTTTAACAACCTGTGGAATGAAAACATTAGCAATGGTGACCCTATGAACCCGGAGAAGACTGAACTGCATCCTTGATTTTAATTTCAATTCTGCCATCTACTTTAATAGGTTTTAGTCAATCAAAGGCATGACATTAAGTGGTTAAAATAAAATTTGTGGATGTTTTATTTGAGTTTCCAGTTGAGCAGAAGTTCTGTATGTTCAGCAGATAGTTCAGTATTTGTTCGACTCTATTTTATATTCTAAAACAAACGTATGCAGTGTATGTGAATGAGTGAAATAAACCCATGCAGACCCACTGAGAATCTTTTTGCGTTGTGATTATGAGTTTCTTATTGTACAAGCGGAAGTGGCTGTAGCTTGATGATGCTGCGGATTTGGCACTGCTGAATCCTGACTCCATTCATCTGATTGGTGCACGCAGCCGCATCCATGAGCGGGCCCTCCTGTTCCGCTCCGCCTGGAAACATGGCTGCTGAGGCGGCGCTCAGCAGCTCCGGTCCCTCGCTCTGTCCAAGCTTTGCGGTCGTTTGCTCCTTTATCGAGCGGTATGGAGCCGCGCTGGACCTCCCTGAGATGTCTTTCCCACAAATGGAGACATATTTGCGGGATACATCGACAGGTTAGAGCGCGGTGTGATTGCTGTTAGGGCCAAGAGGCTGTGGACACGCTGCGACACAAACCCTAGAAGGGCCACCGTTACCCCGGTCAGCATCACCTCTTCATCTTCACTGATGATGATGAGGGACTGTGCGTGCGGGGCCCCCATACAGGCAGCGGATGGAGTTAGCTGTCGACACGCCTGAACTCTCCAGGCTGGAGACACAAATTAGCCATCGTACTTTTCAGTGAGACTAGTTCTAAAAACGAATAGTACTCTGTCCACCTTCTGTCAAAGTGAAAGAGCACGTAGGCTGCCATGTCTCAACCCTTAGGTTCAGCTGTTTGATGCGCCGTAAGAGTCCAGGTGTAGGCCTGCGCTACTGCCTCACAAGCACAATGAATGGAGAGATGAGATGGCCTAGGCCTTTAGCCTCGAGCTCTTCTCACTTTCTGTCTCTCATTGAACTCCTTGGATTAAACGTGGGCATCCCTGGCTATGATAGTTACCTATGTGTTTCTGTTTTTATAGCATAATCTTTTCAGCTCTGTAATGCCCTCAGTAATATCATGTGGCACTGTTAGGCTCAAGGTTAAAAGTAGAACTGAAGAAGCTACTTGGACGAGAGGTATTCCCTCTTAAAAAACCTTTGTGCAGTTGACAGAATTCAGTTTTCTTTTGCCATGCTTTTTTTTTAGTTAATTCTCATAAATGACCAGCTTGTAAAATAAGCCAGTAAAAAAAATGTGAATTTTCAATAACATAAAATGTGTATTACAAAACAACATGAATTATTGTCTTGATGTTGGCTGTTTTCTCTCCCAGTTCCCAGACCCCTGGTGGAGCTCCACGTGAAGCTGCTCAGGAAGCTGGGTAAGATGGTGTCTGCTGAGCGCTGGGAGAAGAACCTGGCAAAGGTGAGCCTGGTCTGCTCCTCTAGTGTGTGTGAACATCGTACAGGCTGCACTGTCAGGGCTCAGTCAGCACATGCATTTAACCTACTGGTGTATTTGGTCATTTCTTTTCTGTAGTTCTGCCAAGAGCTCAACAGCACCTGGGCGTGGGAGCTAGAACAAAGGGGCTACCAGGAGATGACCATGGAGTGCAAGTCTGGAATACTCAAAGTATGTTCCCAAACATACTGCAGCTGTACATACACAACAAAAATAGGCCTATTCTTGCTTTAAAAGTTTTATATTGTGCAAAACAAACTCAGCTTTTAGCTGTGTAATAATACAGTTATCTCCTCAAAAGCATACCTGGAGTAGTGTTTGTTTCATTCACACATGCTTGAGTAATCGTGGATTAGATCGATAGAAAGTCTCTAATATCTGCTGGTGTGGAGTGAAGCAGTTTCAATGAGGCTAAAACAATAGCTGTAACTTGAAAGTGAGGCAAATCCAGAGCTGAAAACACACTGTAACATTTCCTGTATTACCACTTAATGACAGCATGAGGAATGTTTTCAGTTTGAGAGAAGAACTCAGCCTAAATATACAGGGTCAATGTGAATGAAACAAAACACTATTCCAGGTATTTTTGCAATGAGGAAACATTACAGCAGATGTGAAAATAATGTAACAGAGTCTTTAATGTGCTCATACCTGTTGATACTTGTTTCCTTAGGGGTGGATGATCTTGACAAAATGTTTATTTTTCAAATTGTGGGTTCTTTCAATGACATTAATCAGACAATATTTTAGGAAACCATCTGATATCCTCTTCAATTGTCTTGTTTGAGAACTGTGCATTGTTCAAAATATATACCTCAGTTTGAAAGATCACACTGACGATTTCTGTCTTTTTTTTTTTAGTTTGATCACATTTTCAATAATCTGGCACCTCTTTTGTAATGCTTGTGTACAATCATAGTTAGTACTCCTCTCAGCACACAGCTCTGACCTTGTCCCCTCTCTAATACCCCTTTGCAGTACTTGTGCGAGTGCCAGTTTGATGACAATCTGAGGTTGAAAATGTCAGTGAATGAGGAGGAGCCAGAGAGCATGAGATTGCAGCCAATTGGTCGAGATCGCCAGGGCCACCTGTACTGGCTGCAGTTGGACCACGAGCACAACATCCGCCTGTACACGGAGGAGCAGGACGACTTGGACGGCTCCACTTGGAGATGCATCGTCAGGTAACTTATGGTCAGGTAACCCACGGTCAGGTAAACACTCTCCACAGCCTTCTTCATGCTAGAGATAAGTATGTTCTCCCATTTAGACCTTTTCTTCAGCCAGCCAGATTTTATCTTTGGCTTTCCTTTAGGCCTCCTATGTCCTCAGGAGCACCATCCTAATATATTCACTATTCCTCCTCTTTACAAGTCCAAGTGTGGTAAAAACACAATACGTTCAGTGCAGGATATGTAAAATCTAGGTCATGATAATTATTATATCAAATATGGATGCCCCATGTATGGTACATGAGATAATCATTTTATGGGATATTATAATATTTGTTGTTTTTTTTTGTTTAAGTTTGTTGAGAATTTGTGGTTATTTTTTGGCATTGGATTAGATTTGAGTTGAATAAATACCTCCTATGATTTATTATTAAACTTAAAAAGTATTTGATTCTGCTTTTTATTTATAGCAGCTTGTGTTTTTTGTATTGTGCACTTATAGAATAGATTTTTGTGGATAATTCTGCTTTAGTATTATTGTGTAATTGGCATAAATTAATGTCAGTATTAGCGTTTATTGTCTATTTTAGCCATATATATTGCACTATTGTGACAGGTCTGTTACCATCTGAACACAGATGCAACATCCTGCCCCCTCCTTGGTGCAGAAAGGTGCCCAGCCTAAATGGCCTAAATTATGGCATGCCTGGTTTATAGTGCCTGTACTCGAATAGTTGTATTTCTGTCTTTTCTTGTTTTCATCTTTGTCTAAAGCCATAAAACATGATCAGAATTCCATAGAAATATTACTGAGCAAAACTAGTATCATGTATTTCTTGGGAATGCTTGCTAACTTTCTACAGTCCTGTCTCAGGACCCACCAGGCATAAAAACCTATATATTTTTGGTACCTCACTGTTTTTCCATACCACAGTAGTACAGTAATAGTTTGGTTGAAAACTGTAGCTGCCCTACTCCACAGTTTATTAGATAAAGTCAGCAGAGATCTTCAGACTCAGGCATGTGATATTTTACCACACACAGGTCTCGGAAGGATCTGGAGGATGCCCTGAAGCTCCTGAAGGCCCAGGTGGAGACAAAACCAGAGCAGACACACCATGACTGCACTGCCACTTTGGGTAGGCTTCACACCTACATGTCTATTTGCTGAGCTCTTTTTAATGTAGAAATGTATTTTTATAGAAAAGTGAACATCTTATGCGTTTGCAGAACCTACAAGATTCCGTACTGTTTGTGTGTTGTGATGTCATTGTCCTCCTTTCCTCCCACAGAGAAGAACCACTGCAGTTCAGAAACAAAACCAGGTGACTACATCAAACAAGAGCCATTTCCCAAAGGTACTTCTGTTCCACAGTACTTCTCACACCACCTATAGTACATTGTGAGCTTTGTGAGGCTCAGTGCATAAGAGCAGTTTGGTGTAGTGAGATTCTTATAATAATACCAATGCATTAGTCTGATACAGCACTTTTCAAAACCCTCAAAGTTTACAAGTGTGTGCATTATTCATTTGTTCTGTACGCATAGTAACAGTTACAGGTGCCAGGTGCCCTGGGGCAGACTGACAGAAGCGAAACAGACAATCTGCACCATCGGCTCCTCCCACCACCCATCACTTACTCAAATGTTTTGCCTATGTGTTACAATTACAGTGTCCACTAGAGCCACTGCTGCCTCTCTGTGGCACCTGGAATTCCCAGTGGTCTCCCATTCAAGCACTAACCAGGCCCAGCACTGCTGAGCTTCTCAAAATGCAATTTAATTTAACAATCAAAAAGTAGTATTTTAAAACCATAAATTTAAACAACTATATAATTTACACTTGATTGAGAGAGTGCATTTCAAATTTCATAGTCATGATCTACTGTATCTTTATTTCTAGATGCATCCTCTAATCTAATAATGCATTTACTGATAACAATTCTAATGGTGATTTATTCTTAACTGGTGCAAGAAACGGTGCAAGAAACAAAAATCAGTGTTCAAATAATTTCATATTTTTGTCACTTGTAGACTCAAAGTGGAAAATGTAACCACTACCTTAACTCACACCTTACAATATATTACTAGATGTAAGAGTAGGAGTCAGAAAATGTTGTCCAAATCTGTATCTTAAGTCAACTTACAACTCTATAGCCCTGTCCCTTGACCTGTGAGTGTGTGTTTGTGTGTGTGTGCACAGAGCTCCAGCAGCCGTGCCCTGTGCTGGCAGAGACAGAGAAGCCGAACGAGTGCAAGCCCCCTGTGTTTGATCATCATGTGCGCACCATCACTGCAGTGACCACTCTGAGTCAGAACACCGTGTCCGTCCTCAGAGCACCCGGAGCGCTCAGACCGGAGATACATCCTGGCCCCGTGAAGAGCAGCAGCCAGCAGGCCACCATCCCCCTGAAGAAGAGAGAGCTCAAACTGTCTCAAGACTATCATAGCAACCTCCTCCTGAACAACAACAGCAAGTGCAGCATCATTGTGGTCAACCCTTCTGTCATCCAATCCACAGACTGTCCAAGCTCCTCCGGGCCCGAGCTGACCAATGGGAGTGCTCCTCTCACTATGCCCCATGCGAGAGAGTCTGGGGCCCCCGTAGAACATGTGGGCGTCATCCGAAACCTTCATGAGACTGAGAGACAGTCTCAGCAGCCTACTGACCGGTGCGCACAGGAGCAAAGGGAGGCCAGGAGGGAGTCTGTGCTGGTTCAGAAGACACATGCTGTCAAAATCAACTGCCAAGCTCCAGTGCTGTCCTCAGAGCCTCCTCATTTCTCTAAGGAGGAAGAGAATGTAGAATTAATGGTAGAGAAAGATGACAGGAGCGAGTGTACAGATACTTTAGAGAAGGATGGTGCAGGAACACAGAGTACTCCAGACCAAAAGGAGGACAAAGCGGAACTCAATGGCTCTGTAGTCTCGGACACGCCTATGGAGGAAGCTTCATCTGAGCTTCAGAAAGAAGGCATCCGGCTCAAAATCAAAATCCCACCGCACCGCCAGAACAAGCTGCGTGCCAGAAGTGCCAAGCAGCAGCAGCCCGAGGGAGGGGAGGGGGAGGCCCCGCTGAGGAGGTCTGCCAGGATCTGCAGGTGGGTTTGACACAGGACGCAGCATCCAAAATGAAAATATAAAAAACTGCATCACACACTCAGGTGGCAGATTGGCAGGTGGCAAATAGCCTTTGTCAGATAACCTGGGTCTCACCTGATAGGTATGTGCAGCACCCGGAATTGAGTTCTACATGTTTATCAACCTGAAACAGCTTGAGAAAAGACTAAACATTGCAACTAATATTTGAGTGATTGGTTGAAGCATTACAACAGTGGAACAAACCGAAAAATCTAACTTTTGTTACATCCAACTGAGAGAAAAACAATCTTCCCTGTCCACAAATGCACAAGGTGCCTCCCTCTGCACCTACCTCCATCAACATGTTTGTTTTGGTTTGCTCAATGTTGATTCCTTATTTATATAGAACATTTGACCAACACAAAGTCTCCAAAGTGCTGCACAAAGAAAACACAACATCAGTACATTTCATAAAATACAGCATAAATACAAATAAGTCAATAGAAATACTAAAATACACAGACAAAGGCAAATTGTTGTGCAGTTTTTCGGTTTTCAATGAGCTTTTTCTTGCAAATGCACCTCTTCAAGTATATAGATGAGCGTTAGTGTTTTGTTTGAAGAGAATCACCAGTAAAGAAGTAAAGTGTTTGAATGTGATCTCAGGCCCAGCTCCAAGGCTGTGGAGAGCCAGAGGAAGATTGTGGGACAGAGTTCCAGTCCAGTCCATCCCCCAGGGTGTGCTGTGCAGACCAGGAGACGGAGGGTAAGGCTAACTACAGGAATCTGTTGAATTAATTTTAGACCATGTTTAGGCTTGATAAAGTTCAGGTTAAGATCTGAAGATCTGGTGGTACTTGAAAAGCCAAATATTAAAAATCAAATAAGGTTTTGGAACTTGTTTACAAATGGTTGCTAGGTAACATACTGCTGTACATGTCCCACCAAAAGGTAAAATGAAAAACTTCATCAAAATAAAATAAAATAAAAACAACATCAATAGGAAAACCGGAAAGGAAAAAAAGACAAACTATAATATGTAAAGTAGTCCAGCCCTAACCCAAAGTCTTTTTCTCAGGGGCGTCCAAAGTGGTCCAAAAAAGCCAAAGTGAAGCAGGAGCCCCAGGAGGAGTACAGGGAGCAGCCAGAGGAGCCGGTGGAGGAGGGAGAGGCAGAGTCCAGCACGGCAGACGCATGCACACACTGTGGACTGGCCAACCATCCTGAGCTGGTACACCTGTGATTTTACCGACAATACATAAATGCCTAAAGTAGGACTGCCCTATTTTGGAAAGATATCACATTGTGATTTTTCAGTCAAGCATTTCAATTAGATCTATGATTTATGTTTTAATTATAGGATTCTGTTCAAAGTTCACATTTTCAACACTTACATTAACAAAAAGACTATGAACAAACTGAATGCTGAAGAGTCACATTTCAGAATGTTTGTACAGATCTAAACTACAGGGTTAGTGGTTTTATGCAGAATCAGACAGAAGATTTTGTTGTTTGTGAAGGAAATGATGGTACTTCAGAAAATGCAGTCTTTAAGATTTGCTAATTGCATCCATTCAAATAGGGACTTCAATTCAGTTGTACATGCTCGTACATGTGCGTACATGTGCGTACATGTGCGTACATGCGCGTACATGCGCGTACATGTGCGTACATGCGCGTACATGCGCGTACATGCGCGTACATGTGCGTACATGTGCGTACGTGTGTGTACGTGTGTGTGTGTGCTCCTCAGATCCTGCTGTGTGACGCGTGTGACGTTGGCTACCACACGGCCTGTCTGCGCCCTCCACTCATGTTGGTACCAGAGGGAGAGTGGTTCTGTCCTCCCTGTCAACATGTGAGTCTGACGTTGCAACTAGATTGTATCCATGTGTTCTATATTCTTTCTGTACTACCGGTAGCTCTTTATCCTGATTGGCTTAAAGATGGCATTATCATGCAAAATCAACTTTTTGGAGCTTTGTCCCATGTTATAACATTGTTACCTCATCAAAAACATGGCTGAAGGAGTTTTATCTGTCATCCCTGCCTCTAATGACCTAGACCGGGGTCCTATTCAAGTCCTCCTTATGGTTAACAGTATCAGTCTGTACAAGGCTTCGTGCACAAACCCTCATCACCTATGCTCCCACATGGCCATTTTTCATAAATGTGCTGAAGCATGAAACCAAACAATACACCACAACTTGACAAACCGGATGCAATGTGCAGTAGTTTCATTAGTGGGATGCACACTGATCATTATGTGATAGCATGGTCTTTAAAAAGGGCTTTAAAATGAACCATCAGGCTGTTAAAATCCATCCATCCATTTTCTTCCACTTTATCTGGAGCTGGGTTGCGGGGACAGTAGTCTGAGCTGGTAGGTCCAGACTTCCCTCTCCATACACACGTCGTCCTGCTCCTCCTGGGGAACCCAAGGCGTTCCCAAGTCAGCCCAGAGATGTAGTCTGTCCAGCCTGTCCTGGGTCTTTCCTGGGGTCTCCTCCCGGTGGAACATGCCCAGATTACCTCCCCAGGGAGGCGTCCAGGAGGCATCTAGAACAGATGCCTGAGCCTCAGCTGGCTGCTCTTAACGTGGAGGAGCAACAGCTCTACTCCAAGCTCCTCCTGTGTGACTGAGCCTCACCCTATCTCTAAGGGAGCACCCAGCCACCTTGCGGAGGAAACAGATTTCGACCGCTTGTATCGACGATCTTGCTCTTTCAGTCATTACCCAAAGCTCATTACCATAGGTGAGAGTAGGAACGTAGATTGAGCGGAAAATCTGGAGCTTTGCCTTTCAATTGTTAAAATGTCTTTTAAAACGCACATGGAGCTGATGGAGCTTTGGAGCTGACTACTGAGTACGTGTGTATTCTCCTCAGAAGCAGCTGTGTGAGCGTCTGGAGGAGCAGCTGACCACTCTGGACTGTGCCCTGAAGAGGCAGGAGCTGGCTGACCGACGGTAAGCCTTCACCCAAAGCTCCAGCCACTCCTGTAGCTCCTTCATATCTGACCTGAGCCGTGTGTGTGTTCAGGAGGGAGCGCCTGGTGTACGTGGGCATCAGTCTGGAGAACATCATACCGGTGAGACACATAGACCTGTACATATGTGTGTATGTCTAAAGGATGCCTCGTATGGGTCTCCAAAATGTAGACAAGCAGTCAAACATGTCTTCTGTCCAATCAGAGGATTGTATTGAAAATGTGTACTTTTGTAGTAAAAAATAAGATTAAAATGTACTGTTAAAACTACAGCTAAAAAGTACATTTTTGTTGCATTAGATCAGCCTTTTTTTATATATAAAACTCGATAATTAAATGGTTGTTGAATTAATTAGTTTAAAACCACAATCTGCATATTCTTCGAGCTATGGTCAATCAGAGCAGGCGATTGAGACGTGTGTACACAGTAACTCAGTACAAGGAAAGGTTTAAAAATGTACTCAAAAAAGTGCAAACTCTGCTACAGTATTACAGTAACATGAGTATTTATAAGTAGCTGCTTTTACATCCCTGTTTTTTCCTTTCAACCACATTGGCCTACAACAATTGACATTGTGCAGTGACGTCACTCTGGAGGTGTTCTACATGTATCTGTATGGTGGAATGTTCAACTGTTACCACAGTTAGGATTATTTTAGGATTAGAATTAGATTCCTGTTAGGATTTAATTCCTACGGTTACCTGTTTTTGTGGCTACATGGCTCATACACAAAGTTTTTGAAACTTAGTTTTTTAGCTCAGTTTTTAACATCATATCATGGGATTTTAACCAACTAAGAAGTGCACCTTGTTCAGTTATCGGGACACAAGTAAGGGACTGCTGGATTATGTGAAATGAGCTGTTTGTTTTTCCTGCATCTATGGAGACTGTGCAAGAGGCAGGCTAAGAAGCCAGTTATGGTATAGACATTGTAGAAGCAGCGGGCTTTTTTATGTGGCAGCAAATGTGGCAGAAGACCTTCTAGAGGAAATATTTTGAGGGAATGAATCATTTCATCACCAACTGAATCACCAGAGCAGAGTAAGAACAAGGCCTTTTCTGTTGTGTTCACCTGCTCCCCCCTGTACACTGTAATTTAACATGTTTAACCACACAAATCAGCTCAGCTTTGTGGTCAGATTGTGTTCAAATAAAGCTCAGATCAAAGTCTAACAAAGCCTCAGAGAAAGCAGTGCCTATAGCTTTACATCCCCTGGGACCTTTTATGACATCAGCTGCAAATTGTCAATAGTCTGGTCACTGAATGAGCACTTTTCTGCTTTGCTTTATGTTGAGTGACATGCTTCTGTGTGTTTGTAGGAGGAACACAAAGTGGAAGAGAAGAACATAAAGAAGAAGGACGCCCGGAGGAGTCGCCTGGGGAGACGTTCCACCAGAACCAGGAAGCTCATCAGCTACAGGTGGCCCTATTCCACCCAGTCTCTGAGCATCTTACTCAGACACTCAGAGACTTTATGATTTCATGCTTTTGTCATTCCTTCTCCGCACTGGGTGCTGGTAAGCATCCACTGCCATTAGGGATGTCACAATATCCATAATCCACAGTTTTACAATTATTCAAAATGATTGGCACAGTGAACATACAACAGTGAAATCACCTCACCACAAGTGTGTAAACCCAACACACCTTCACTAGAATCATTTGGATCATTTCAGCCCTTATATTGCCAATCTCTACTGAACAAAAGATAAAAGGAGCTGTTCACTTGAAAAGTTCCACTACATGACATCGCGAGGTGGAACAGGGCATTTTGAGCGTTTATGATATTTTACTTCTAACAGCTGCATTGTGACCTGAATGGTTACAATTACCAAATTATTTTGACATCTCGTTTCCCTGCCAACTGTAGGCTTTGGGCGTGAAGTCTCTTGCCCAAGGACACAACAGTAGCATGCAGTGTTCAGAGCTGGAACTGAACTGCTGGGTTGATGGACTTCTGCCCAGACCACGTCGGTCCAGTCTAGCATGGGAGTAGACCTCAGTCTTTTTAATAGTGGCTAATACTGACTTCTTGTGCTGATGTCTTGTAGGTTTGATGACTTTGATGATGCCATAAATGAGGCCATTAAGGACAACAGAGACCTGAGCGGTGAGTTGAGCGATGATATAGAGAGTGGTACCGTATTTTCTGGACCATAGGGTGGCCTCTTAAACCTCCAACCCCATCAAAAAACGACTGTGCGCCCCACAATCCAGAGCGCCCTATACACGAATCCACTCAGGTGTCCCAGCACGACTTAAGTAAAGTACAAAGCCGCACCACCCACAGAACACGCAAACACACACGGAGCAGACAGCGACTGCACAGCGAAACACACCCACAGACACACTCATCACTCCACGCCGATGAGGAACGGAACGAAGGAATGAACCAAAAAAGCGAGTGCAATGTGCCACTTCTAGACACAAGTGAACAACTGAGTCACTGCGAACACGCCGACAATCCGTTGGTCCCAGACAGCACCCTCCTTACACGCCACAACTGAACAAAGCCCAGAGTCACCGTGAACGCCACAAACAAACAAAACCACTCACCCATCACACTGTTGTATTTCCTTTACAGTCCGGTGTGGTTTATTTGTGGAAAAAAGTTAGAAAATAGACCATTCTATCATTTCATAAAATGATAAAATCATGATGAAAACCTGTGATATGCACTTTAAAGAGCAAGTTATAATGTTGTGTTGTCATCGAAAACCTGTCTGAAGAGGTTTTAGATGTCATTCATGAATGTTTGCAATGTCTCCGAGGCCCTATGTGAATCTTTCTTACAGTGAAGGCCAATTTACGGTCCAGCGTCAAATCGTCTGCGTCACGACGCAGCGAGTGCATCGACGCGTACCCCCTACGCAGAGCCTCTGCGTTGACCGACGTGCACCTCCGAAATTTTCTAACTACGCGTCGAAACGACGCAGACTGCAGGAGAAGCGACGCAGACGATAAGAGCTGTGATTGGGCCTCTGTAGACATTTCCTGTACTCGGCTTTCCTTTCTTTCAGTATGCAGCTTTGCGCATATGTGTTTACGTTTTACAGAAACAAAACTTAAAACTGCATGGCTAACTTACATAAACTAAGCGCTCAAAAAACAGATCGCTATTGTGTCCTGACGCGGTCAGCTTCTGTCGGACTTTAAAAGGACACGACTCAGTGAAGTGTTCTTTCTGTGACAGAAGGATAATGTAATAATGAGTCTGTTCTGTGCTTTTATCGTGTCGGAGATGGAACTTTTCAGAGATTATACGTCTGCAGGTTACACGCATAGACTGTATATATGAATGGACATATATCGTCGCCCCCTAGCGTTTTGGCAGTGAATTACTTCACGGTGCACAGACCTCGATGCAGATCCATAAATAAAAATCGACGGTGACAAGGCGACCGCGGCAGTGCTCGTTGAGTCGACGCAGAACTATATTTCTGTAAGATCCTGTGCAGTGTTCTGACCACAAACCTACATCACTCATGCTCCCACAATACAATTCACAACACTACACAACAACTTAATAAACCTGATGTGATGTGCAGTAGTTAAGTTAGCAGGATGATGTCACTCTGAAGGGGGAGTCAGGTTGTCCAAAACAAAAGTGAAACTTATAAAACTTGTTAATACATTGTTTCCAGTAACTATAGCATTTTAAATACAATAAAAGAATGAATAACGTGGTGGTCTAAATATGTTATGTGTTGTTCCCTAGAAGCCAAATCCCCTCTTTAAGTTGTGCCTTTTAACCTTGTGGTGTTGTTGGCTGCAGGAAGATGCAGCAGAGCCATAAGCTCGGTGTCAGACGAGATCGGGCTCTCAGGGCTGTCACACAGGCCTGACCCCCAGAGACGTGACCCCCAGAGACGTGACCCCCAGAGGCCGGACCCCCAGAGGCCGGACCCCCAGAGGCCGGTCCGCTGGCCCGCTGGTCGTGTGAGGAAGAAGAGGAGACGACGACTTAATGACCTAGAGAGTGACAGCACGGCAGTGGACAGTGAGGAAGATGAGTACCTGCTCAGCCACAGGTACAGCCCCCCACCCCCCACACCAGCACAGGTACCTGCCCCCACACACACACATGCACCATTTATTTCTTTCCCTTTGCTCTTCATGCTAAGTCACTCCCTCTTCAGAGCATTATCACAGCATGCATCACATATGAAGCTACTGCTCATCACAGCAGGTTTGTCAAGTTGTTGTGTACAGTTTTGTATCATGTTTTTGAATATTTAATTCAATTCAAATTCAAAAAGTTGAATTTCCATAAGAACATATGAAAATTTGTTCGCAATTTCAATCAAAATTTTGGATAATTCTCAGTAACAAGATTCACTCTCATTTGCACAGGCTTAGTCCGATTGTGCTGAAATTTGAATCACTAATGCATGATCTTGGCCTAAATATAATCCTCTATAAAGCATATGGAAAGTGAACACTATAGCGTCCCCTACCATACACATGAAAAGTCAACATTATCGGATTTGTACCAAATTTGTGAATTACATTCTATGATTGACTAGAAGCAAAACATATATTTCTGACACAGCAGGGGTGCAAAGACATTTAAAAACATTTAAAGGTGCACTATGTAAATTTTCTGGTGGATGATGTGTTGGCCTGGGTGGCCAAACCGGAAGTCTGCCATCTTTGATTTTTTTTAATATATTTTTTTTAATAAACACATGCAGAAATTTAGATAAATGGCAGGATTAGATGAGGAGTTAAGGTTAGGATATGGGCTAGGGTTAGAGCTATGACTAGGGTTAGGTTTAAGTTTAGGGTTGGGCCTAGAGTTTGGGCTTGGGCTAGGAGTTAGACTTGGGGGGTTGGGGTTTACAGATATTAGGGTTAGTGTGAGGCACAGCGTTTGCAGGGCTTGGTGTTTGTAGGGCGCAGCGTTTGCAGGGCGCGGCGTTTGTGGGCGAGGGCCGTTTGACGCCACTGGCGGCTTTAATTTTAATCATGTTGTCACTTTGAATCTTCTATATTAAAAAATAATAAGATTAAAGGAAAAGTCCTTGCACCATTCACAATTGTGATAGACTTGCTTGTGAGGTGGGTGGTGTATATGTGTGTGAGGCGGGTGGTGGGTGGTGTATATGTGTGTGTGAGACAGGTGGTGTATATGTGTGTGAGGCGGGTGGTGGGTGGTGTATATGTGGGTGAGGCGGGTTGTGTATATGTGGGTGAGGCAGGTGGTGTATATGTGTGTGAGGCGGGTGGTGTGGTGGTGTATATGTGTGTGAGGCGGGTGGTGGGTGGTGTATATGTGTGTGTGAGGCAGGTGGTGTATATGTGTGTGAGGCGGGTGGTGGGTGGTGTATATGTGGGTGAGGCGGGTTGTGTATATGTGGGTGAGGCAGGTGGTGTATATGTGTGTGAGGCGGGTGGTGTATATGTGTGTGAAGCGGGTGGTGTATATGTGTGTGAGGCGGGTGGTGGGTGGTGTATATGTGGGTGTGAGGCGGGTGGTGTATATGTGTGTGAGGCGGGTGGTGGGTGGTGTATATGTGTGTGTGAGGCAGGTGGTGTATGTGGTGTGAGGCGGGTGGTGGGTGGTGTATATGTGGGTGAGGCGGGTGGTGTATATGTGTGTGAGGCGGGTGGTGTATATGTGGGTGAGGCGGGTGGTGTATATGTGTGTGAGGAGGGTGGTGTATATGTGTGTGAGGAGGGTGGTGTATATGTGGGTGAGGAGGGTGGTGTATATGTGTGTGAGGAGGGTGGTGTATATGTGTGTGAGGCGGGTGGTGTATATGTGGGTGAGGTGGGTGGTGTATATGTGTGTGAGGTGGGTGGTGTATATGTGTGTGAGGTGGGTGGTGGGTGGTGTATATGTGTGTGAGGTGGGTGGTGTATATGTGTGTGAGGTGGGTGGTGTATATGTGTGTGAGGCGGGTGGTGTATATGGGGGTGAGGCGGGTGGTGTATATGTGGGTGAGGTGGGTGGTGTATATGTGTGTGAGGTGGGTGGTGTATATGTGTGTGAGGCGGGTGGTGTATATGGGGGTGAGGTGGGTGGTGTATATGTGTGTGAGGCGGGTGGTGGGTGGTGTATATGTGGGTGAGGCGGGTGGTGTATATGTGTCTGAGGTGGGTGGTGGGTGGTGTATATGTGGGTGAGGCGGGTGGTGTATATGTGTGTGAGGCGGGTGGTGGGTGGTGTATATGGGGGTGAGGTGGGTGGTGTATATGTGTGTGAGGCGGGTGGTGGGTGGTGTATATGTGGGTGAGGCGGGTGGTGTATATGTGTCTGAGGTGGGTGGTGTATATGTGGGTGAGGCAGGTGGTGTGTATATGTGTGTGAGGCGGGTGGTGGGTGGTGTATATGTGTGTGAGGCGGGTGGTGGGTGGTGTATATGTGTGTGTGAGGCAGGTGGTGTATATGTGTGTGAGGCGGGTGGTGGGTGGTGTATATGTGTGTGTGAGGCAGGTGGTGTATATGTGTGTGAGGCGGGTGGTGGGTGGTGTATATGTGTGTGTGAGGCAGGTGGTGTATATGTGTGTGAGGCGGGTGGTGTATATGTGTGTGTGAGGCAGGTGGTGTATATGTGTGTGAGGCGGGTGGTGGGTGGTGTATATGTGGGTGAGGCGGGTGGTGGGTGGTGTATATGTGTGTGAGGTGGGTGGTGGGTGGTGTATATGTGGGTGAGGCGGGTGGTGGTGTATATGTGGGTGAGGCGGGTGTGGTGTATATGTGTGTGAGGCGGGTGGTGGGTGGTGTATATGTGTGTGTGAGGCAGGTGGTGTATATGTGTGTGAGGCGGGTGGTGGGTGGTGTATATGTGGGTGAGGCGGGTGGTGTATATGTGGGTGAGGCGGGTGGTGTATATGTGGGTGAGGCGGGTGGTGTATATGTGTGTGAGGCGGGTGGTGGTGTATATGTGTGTGAGGCGGGTGGTGTATATGTGGGTGAGGCGGGTGGTGTGTATATGTGTGTGAGGCGGGTGGTGTATATGGGGGTGAGGCGGGTGGTGTATATGGGGGTGAGGCGGGTGGTGTATATGTGGGTGAGGTGGGTGGTGTATATGTGTGTGAGGTGGGTGGTGTATATGTGTGTGAGGTGGGTGGTGTATATGTGGGTGAGGTGGGTGGTGTATATGTGTCTGAGGTGGGTGGTGGGTGGTGTATATGTGGGTGAGGCGGGTGGTGTATATGTGTGTGAGGTGGGTGGTGTATATGTGTGTGAGGTGGGTGGTGTATATGTGTGTGAGGTGGGTGGTGTATATGGGGTGAGGCGGGTGGTGTATATGGGGTGAGGCGGGTGGTGTATATGGGGGGTGAGGCGGGGGTGGTGTATATGTGTGTGAGTGCGGGTGTGTATATGGTGGTGAGGTGGGTGGTGTATATGTGTGAGGTGGGTGGTGTATATGTGTGTGAGGCGTGGGTGTGTATATGTGGGTGAGGCGGGTGGTGTATATGTGTGTGAGGTGGGTGGTGTATATGGGGGGTGAGGCGGGTGGTGTATATGTGTGTGAGGTGGGTGGTGTATATGTGTGTGAGGTGGGTGGTGTATATGTGTGTGAGGCGGGTGGTGGTATATGTGTGTAGGGTGGTGTGTATGTGTGTGAGGTGGTGTGGTGGTGTATATGTGTGTGAGTGGTGGGTGGTGTATATGTGTGTGAGGTGGGTGGTGTATATGTGTCTGAGGTGGGTGGTGGGTGGTGTATATGTGTGTGAGGTGGGTGGTGTATATGTGTGTGAGGTGGGTGGTGTATATGTGTCTGAGGTGGGTGGTGGGTGGTGTATATGTGGGTGAGGTGGGTGGTGTATATGTGTGTGAGGTGGGTGGTGTATATGTGTGTGAGGTGGGTGTGTATATGTGTGTGAGGGGGTGGTGTATTGTGTGTGAGGTGGGTGGTGTATATGTGTGTGAGGTGGGTGTGTATATGTGTGTGAGGTGGGTGGTGTATATGGGGGTGAGGCGGGTGGTGTATATGGGGGGTGAGGCGGGTGGTGTATATGTGTGTGAGGCGGGTGGTGTATATGTGTGTGAGGCAGGTGGTGGGTGGTGTATATGTGGGTGAGGTGGGTGGTGTATATGTGTGTGAGGCGGGTGGTGTATATGTGTGTGAGGCGGGTGGTGGGTGGTGTATATGTGTGTGAGGTGGGTGGTGTATATGGGGGTGAGGCGGGTGGTGTATATGTGTGTGAGGCGGGTGGTGGGTGGTGTATATGTGTGTGAGGTGGGTGGTGTATATGTGTGTGAGGTGGGTGGTGTATATGGGGGTGAGGCGGGTGGTGTATATGTGGGTGAAGTCAACAATAATCTCAGTTGACATTAATTTCTGGAGCATGTCATGTGGGAGCTTGGGTGATGCAGGCTGGGTTGTACTGGGTTGTGGGTGGAGCCTTGTACAGAATCTTACAGCTAATCATAAGGAGGGTCCAGGAGAGTTTGTTAAAATATGCAGACATACATGGATGACATCTAAAAGCCCTTCAGGCATGTATCCATGAAAAAAAATCTATTTTGCATAATACCCCCGTTTAGTCAAATGGTAATATAACAATTATTATTTTTGTTGAATCTATTGTATTGCTGTACTTCTTGGAGAAAAAAAAAAGCACTTTTAGACAACAGCTCTGACAATAGCATTCAAGACAAAATAATATATTTTTATAATGCCTTTTGATTAAAGAGGGGGAATTATGCAAAATCTTTTTTTTTTTTTTTCATCAAATACATGCCTGAAGAGGTTTTAGATGTCATCCATGCATTCCATTCCATTCCATTTTCTTCCGCTTATCCGGGGCCGGGTCGCGGAGGCAGCAGTCTAAGCAGGGACTCCCAGACTTCCCTTTCCACGCACACTTCCTCCAGCTCTTCTGGGGGAACCCCAAGGCGTTCCCAGGCCAGCTGAGAAACATAGTCCCTCCAGCGTGTCCTGGGTCTTCCCCGGGGCCTCCTCCCAGTGGAACATGTCCAGAACACCTCCCGAGGGAGGCGTCCAGGAGGCATCTGGAAAAGATGCCCGAGCCATCTCAACTGGCTTCTCTCAATGTGAAGGAGCAGCGGCTCTACTCCGAGCTCCTCCCGTGTGACTGAGCTCCTCACCCTATCTCTAAGGGAGCGCCCAGCCACCCTGCGGAGGAAACTCATTTCGGCCGCTTGTATCCGCGATCTCATCCTTTCGGTCATTACCCAGAGCTCATGACCATAGGTGAGGGTGGGAAGGAAGACTGACCGGTAAATCGAGAGCTTTGCCTTTCGGCTCAGCTCCTCTTCACCACAACGGTCCGATACAGCGACCGCATCACTGCTGAAGCTGCACCGATCCGCCTGTCAATCTCACGCTCCTTCCTCCCCTCACTCGTGAACAAGACCCCGAGATACTTGAACTCTTCCACTTGGGGCAGGGACTCTCCACCCACCCAGAGAGGGCAAACCACCTTTTTCCGGTCGAGAACCATGGCCTCGGATTTGGAGGAGCTGATCTTCATCCCAGCCGCTTCACACTCGGCTGCAAACCGTCCCAGTGCACATTGCAGGTCCTGGTTCGATGAAGCCAACAGGACAACATCATCTGCAAACAGCAGAGATGAGATCCTGTGGTCCCCAAACCGGACCCCCTCCGACCCCTGACTGCGCCTAGAAATTCTGTCCATAAAAACAATGAACAGAACCGGTGACAAAGGGCAGCCCTGGCAGAGTCCAACATGCACCGGGAACAGGTCTGACTTACTGCCGGCAATGTGAACACAGCTCCTGCTCCGGTCATACAGGGACCGGACAGCCCTTAGCAAAGGGCCCCGGACCCCATACTCCCAGAGCACCTCCCACAGGACACCACGAGGGACACGGTCGAATGCCTTCTCCAAGTCTACAAAGCACATGTGGACTGGTTGGGCAAACTCCCATGAACCCTCTAGCACCCGATGGAGAGTGTAGAGCTGGTCCAGTGTTCCACGGCCAGGACGAAAACCACACTGCTCCTCCTGAATCCGAGGTTCAACTATTGGGCGGATTCTCCTCTCCAGTACCCTGGCATAGACCTTACCGGGAAGGCTGAGGAGTGTGATTCCCCTGTAATTGGAACACACCCTCCAGTCCCCCTTCTTATACAGAGGGACCACCACCCCGGTTTGCCAGTCCAGAGGTACTGTCCCCGACCGCCACGCGATGCTGAAGAGGCATGTCAGCCAAGACAGCCCCACAACATCCAGAGACTTAAGATACTCAGGATGGATCTCGTCCACCCCTGGAGCCTTGCCACCAAGGAGCTTGCCAACCACCTCAGTGACTTCAGCCAGGGTGATGGACGAGTCCGCCTCTGGGTCATCCATGCATGTTTGTGTATTTTAACGAACTCTCCTGGGCCCTATTTGTATCCTCCTTACTATAGGCTGTAAGATTCTGTGCATTGTTCCAAACACAAGCCTACATCACCCATGCTCCCACACAACATTTCTCCATGAATATATAAAAACATGATAGAAAACTTTACACAGCATCTTGACAAACCTGATGCGACGTGCAGTAGTTTAATTATCAAAATTATGTTGTGAAGAGCTCTCGTGACCCTTAGAGCAAAGGGAGGGGAGCATTCATGTTCATGTTTTTTGAGTGAAAATAGTATTTTCAAAACAATAACAGGTAACATGGTGTTATAAATATTGTACATGCTAGCAGCTAAAACCCACAGAAGTGTAATACAGACTTAAATTATACTAGTTCAGACATAGCATGATTTCAATACTTCAAATGAGGAACTAGTTCTGATACTAGGTTTATTAGTGACTGCTATCTGGAAATCCATTTTTGGCAACCCAAGACCAGACTTTACTCTCCCAGTATTTCAGAGCTCTGTCAAAATATTGAACTTGTACATGTTTTTTCCATCAACAATAGAAGTTCACATGGTCCACTCTTGTGTCCTAGTGCAGATGATGTGTTGTGTTTCAGCTCGGAGGAAGAGGAGGAGCTGGCTGCCTGGGGGGTGGAGGAGGAGGAAGTGGACAGTGAGATGTGCAGCGGGGACAGTCTGAGCGGGGACAGTCTGAGCGGGGACAGGGCCGTTAGGAGACTGGCCAAGTCTCGAGGACAGTCCAGGAAGAGGACACGTGAGCTGGACAGCCCGGAGCACATGGGTATGCTCCTCACCAAAACACCTCATCTCACATTTAAACCTTTACAAGAACACGTGGCTTATATACTGTAGATAAGCTACGAGATGTTCAAAATAATATCATAATAAAACAAGAATATAGAATCTATAGTATCCGATCTATTGTAACACTTAAATGATAAAACAAACAAACTTACAGTGTAATTGTGTTAAAAGCATGTACGTAAAGTGATATTTCTGCACTTAAAGTGGGACTAAACACCTAAACTCCACCCACAACCGTGTTTCAGACAGAACTGACCTAAACTCCAGCCACAACCGTGTTTCAGACAGAACTGACCTAAACTGGACAGAACCTGAGGACTAAAGGGGAGAGTGAGGGGGGGAAGTCTTTATGGGAAGAATTATTTAAAAATAATTATAAATATTTATGTCTGTCTCTTTTATGTTATGAATTTGGAACAATACTAGTGCAAAAGTCTGTGAGTCCTGACACAGCGCCCAGTGCTGTGCCCACAGTGCAGTGTATGGGTGAACGTTCCCTGTTGTGTTGCAGGGTGCTCCAGTGGGAGTGACAGTGGAGAGGACAGCTCCAGGAGGGCTCTGCGCAGAGGTCAGCAGCAGCAGGTCAACTACTGTGAGAACTCTAGCTCAGACAGTGGAGCACCTCCTGCTGTCAAGAGTGTGAGGAGGCGCCCAGAGCCAGTGTCCAGTGACTACAGTGATGGTCAGCAGCACTCTCACACTCACACCCATTTTTGATGCAAATGCTAAACGTCGGATTAGAGTGACAGTTTGCAATGCACTTACAGTCTTTCATCAACCAATATGCCGAATCATATTTTTATATGACAAAACATTGTTGAAAAAACTTAAGCAATTTCTGAATCTATGACTAAAATCACAGATTTTGATTATGTGAACTAATTAGTGATGTCACAATGCAAAAATTTCAAACTCGATTTCATGTCAATTCCTATACATGATAATTCTTTACACAATAGAAAGTACCAGCATTAAATGTTAGTACTTTCTTTTATATTCCCATCTGTCCATATATCTATGTCATCCCTCAGTTTAAGATAATTCTGTCTCTTGGTCGTACAGATCATTCTAAAGCTACTCAGGAAAGGTCCATTTCTGTCCTGTGAATGGGACTTTTTTAGGATCAGTACCTGCTCAAATGAGTATCTCATTTGATACTAGTTTTAGTATTTATACTGAAAACTACTGAAACTAATGGAGTATCAGCTGATCTCTTTAGCTTAAGGGTTCTTTTTGCCCTTGTTTTAGACATGTCTTAGTTTAGCCCTGGTTTAAATCTGGAATAGTCCTGTTGTAGATATTGTGGTACTTGGAAAATCAGATCTTTTCATTGGCAGCCAGTGTCTTTAATGGCAAATCTTTCTAAAGGTTTGTCTTCTAGTCAAAGGTTGATTTCGTCTTAATTTGAGTAATAAGGTCCCCTCCTCTTGTTGTGTCAGTCTCTGTACTCTCCAGAGACTCAGAGGAGGACTGTGGTGAGGAGGAGGAGAGCAGACGGAAGAGACCCCAGGCCAGGCACCGGAAGAAGAGAAGGCATCGGCAGAGGTCCCGGCACTGTCCCCCCACCGACCCCGACACGTCAGAGGAGGAGGAGGAGGGGCCTCTGAGAAAGAGAGCCCAGCGCCTGGCCCCTGGTGAGGAGGAGCAGGGCCACAGCACAGGGAGGACAGGCAGACCAAGGGGCCGCAAACACAAGGGCCCCAAACACCATGGCTATGCCCAGTCTTGACACCACTGAAAACTCTGTGTGTGTGTCTTCTGTGATTTTAAAGGAGACATTAAGCTAAACCATCCATGTTACAGTATATTTTTTAATCACAAATGTATTCTTAGTTAGTTTTTTATTGTTTTGATTACACCTTAAATGGCCTTGACTAATGCATTCCAGGCCACTGGTAACTGGGATATTACCCACTGGAACGTTCCAAATTCTGGCCTCAGAGAATGAACTATGTAAACTTGTAAACATGGCTAATGCTGAACTGTAGGTTAAACATGTTCCTACATGTTCTTAAACATGCTGTACATGTCTCTGATGTGTCAAATAACAGAATATTGTCAGATGGATCGCGTGTTTACTTGGTTCAACTCTTTGATCCACTGTCTGTGGTGAGTAGCATTGTTGTAATAAGTCAGTTCAATTCATATTCCCAGCTGTGTATATTCCAAATAGGTATTATGAGTTTCAGCGGCATTCCAGGGCTTTTTTTTTTTTTTTTTTTTATCAGAGCAGTGAAATATTCCAGGTATCCATTGTCTGGAGACTCATGTCTTAGCATAATGTTGCTAATAGCTGGGCTGCCAGTATGTCTATGCCAGCAGAGGGTATCCAACCTGCTGTAAATGATGATTCACCAAGTTCATTTTCAATTGACTACATATACTTAAATCAGCACTCACTTTTGATAAGACGATGGTGGTATAACCAATCCATATTTAAGAAATTTAATATATATATATTATAGAAATATTATATATATATATATATATATATATATATATATATATATATATATATATATATATATATGCTAATTTGGGGATACAACTGTCTGATTTACTGGTTTATTTTTAAGCACTTTACTTTTTCCAATTGTATAGTTATTTAATGTATATTAAAATAATACAAAACACAACTACTATACTTTGTTTAACCATTTTAGCAAACAGGAGAGATTCAAATGAAGCATCATATGTCTCCTTTAAACTGTTGTAGTGCCACATGGAATTAAGTTTGTGTGTTACAGAACAGGCCCTAGGAGCGTTTCTGTTTGGGGCCGGGGACTCGGGCCCATGTGTGTGGGGCCCGTCATGTCTGTGTGTACACAGCACACGTGTTACTGCACTAACTGTTGTATACAAGTCTGATCTGCTGTCATACTCTACATATGGACGATTCACTGTGGAGATGGTGTGTGCATTTTGTGCTCAGTGACTTCCATCCCTACAACATGTTTATACTATTTTTTACTAATTAGCTGTACCATGTAGTTCCTTAGCAGTACCAAAATGATGAAATTCTGGAGTTGTAACACATGGGAATGGGCACAGGGGTTTGTACAGATGGATTCTGAAGAGTATCTATAACACTGCTTTATTCTATTATAGAGATGTGTTTTCACAGACATTAAAAGTGTGCAATCAAAGAAATAAAGATTATGTTTAATTGTTGTCTGGAATATGTTTGTTTTTATTCTGTTTGACTGATGAATTGTGCCAATGAATAAACCTATAATTATGAATGCATATTTTATTATTAACCACTATATAGGCAGTAAAAACAATACATGAAAGCACCGTGACAGTTGGATGAAAATGATAATGTGTTACAAATATATAATGTCAGTATCAATACTAAAGATGGAACTGACTATGAACTATCCATGGGTTTCAGAATAATGAAAAGACTGTTGCCATAGCAACTAACAATTTAAAACAAAAATTATTTTAAAGGGAGGAAAAGTCAAGTTATTCAAAACACAGGAAATGGAATTTCGCTCTCGGATATTACGTATGCGGAAGTTCCAGGCCGCCACCGCGACCCTAGTTTGAAAGCTTTTCACATGGAGCTTTAGTTTGTCTTTTCCATCCACCAAACCGTCACATTCATCATCTGTACCCCAGTGTGCCGGTGTCTGCTCCGGGACTGGCTTCGGTGTACACTTCCACGCCACAGCTCATCTATCCGCCCGCGTTTACCTCCAAACAGGTCACGGAGCCTGCGGTCTCCTGAACTCCCATCACAGCCCCGGTGTGAGTCCCGGTGTGAGTCCCGGTCACGATGGTGGTGCTCAGACACCTTCCTCCACCCACCGAGGGTGTGCGGCACGAACAGAGCGACACCACGGCGGTGCTGGGCGGACAGCGGCTCGGCTGCGGGACCCTTTACATAGCAGAAGCGTGAGTGACTCAGATTAGACTCAGTAATGATTCATAAGAAGGATTTGACATGAATCAAATACATGCACCACAGAGCGAGTTTAAAGTGCACAGGACACGTGTTCGTGCTTTTTCTAATTCTCATTTGGTTTAGTTGGATAGCACCTGTGGTCAATAATTAAATCATAGTTTGTTTGGGTTTTTTTGGGTTTTTTTTTAAATCAATTTATGCAAAAGGAATGTATTTTTCTGACCCATGTAAACATTCATTCTTTTTATTTGTCCAATCATATTCATAGTGTAATTTCGACATGTTTGGGCTCTTGATAACGTCCTGGTTGGTAACAGTTATGGAACTGTCCTATCTGTACCCCGCTTAGAAATCAGGAAGTAAAGTAATACTCTTGGCAAGATCTTTTTTTGTAAAATTTTAAATGAATTATTTTGACTGTTTTAGTGAAATTAGTGTAAACTCTCATCAGAGCATTGCAGTGCACTAAACACCATAAAGTTGTTGAGACACTTGGACTTGGTTTAGTCCCAATACATCAGCCAAACTTGTCCCTGTCGCCCCTGCAGGCGCCTGTCGTGGTTTGACGGCTCCGGCCTTGGCTTCTCTCTGGAGTACCCCTCCATTGGCCTGCACGCCATCTCCAGAGACGTGAGCGCCTACCCCCAAGAACACCTCTATGTGATGGTCAATGGCAACCTCAACGGTGAGACGTGTTTAAGAACTACTCTACAGGAAGCTCACACAGTTAGCTTTGCTTTAGACTCTTAAGGGCCGTTCACACCAAACCGTCAAATAACGCCTTGACGCCTCTATTTGGACGCCTTTGCATTTGAGTTCAGACGCCCCCGACGCGTATCTTTGACGTCGTGGACGAACGGGACAAAAATACTTGACGCGCGTCCATTGCCCTGGAAATAAGAGCCCGGTCCCGCTCTTTTCCCGAAACAATGTCAGACCAGACTGATAAGTGTTTTTATGACATAAAACATCAGCGGAGGAGATCGGGTCGACGACTGGGGCGTATATATATTTCTACTCCGCTAATGACACTGGATCAGTCCCGGTCTAGTCCTGGTCTAATACCGGTCTAGTCCTGGTCTAATACCGGTCTGGTCCTGGTCTAATACCGGTCTGGTCCTGGTCTAATACCGGTCTGGTCCTGGTCTAATACCGGTCTGGTCCTGGTCTAATCACGGTCTAGTCCCGGTCTAGTCCTTGTTTAGTCTCGGTCTAGTCTCGGTCTAGTCCTTGTTTAGTCCCGGTCTAGTCCTGGTTTGGTCCTGGTCCGTTCCTGGTGTATTCCTCGCGATCGGCTTGGTGATTGTGGCGTATATACTTATTCTCCGCTCATGTTTGTGGTTCTCGTTCTGGTTCTCGGGTCTTGCTTCCTGATAATAACGTCGCTGCGTCTCTGGATACTTGTCCCTGATTGGTTGACGCGGCGCGCTGACGCTGAAGACGCGCCGCAAAAACGCAGGACGCTCTAGTCGCGCGTCCACATAGACTTTACATTGAAACTGGACGCTTTGATGCCGTGGTGTGAACGGCCCTTTAGAGAAACTTCATTGATCCACAAGGGAAATGACTTGGACACAGTAGCTCACACATCACAATATAGAATAACTGCTTAGCTTCACCTTGAACTTTGCACTTTTTGTTTCAGAAGAAAATGAATCGGAAATGCCTGCAGACGATGATGACGATAGCGACAGTGAAGAGGTCAAGGCCATCACAGAGATCCGATTTGTGCCCTCAGACAAGAGTGCATGTGAGTGTGTGAGCATGTGTGCATGAGGGGTGGAATTTTTATTACAAACAAGGAAAAGAAACCTGTTAAGAGATCACATAATGTGTGTAACATTGCACAGCAAGATGGATGTATAAACTCCATGTCCGTCATGCCACAGTATTGGGGTTTGTGGGGAAACCAAAGCCTAATCGCCTACACGAACCAAAACAGATAAGATTCAAACAGTCATCATGACGTTTTGCCTTTTCCTGATCACTTTGAGCGAGAGGCGTCCAGATGGATAATGTGTAGAACACACACATCAGTCTGACTTGAGCCAGGGTAGAAAACGGAAAACTATGAGCCAAATACTTTTTACGTATAGATTCATCAATAATCATTAGTTGCTCCTTCACCATCATCTCTATTTTGTCAAATATGGGAAATCCAATAATATTGTTAGTAAAATAATCCAAACTAAATGCCAAAAGCTCAAAACTTTGTTCAGCTGCCAATGAACAAGCAGGATTGTACTTAAGTCTCTGATCTGAACTCCGCCTTTCTAATTGTTGGTGTAAAATTTCAATGTGACTCAAATGTATCTTATATAAAAGCTAGTGCAACATAGTCAGATCTAGCTAAACGTTCACAGTCCTGTTGGTTTTTGGTGATTTAAAAGTGTCTGTCTGTGCAGTGGAGCCCATGTTCAGTGCCATGTGCGAATGCCAGGCGCTGCACCCGGACCCCGACGACCAGGACTCGGATGAGGACTTTGAGGGCGATGAGTACGATGTGGAGGAGGCGGGTGAGAATGGGATGGGGCCAGTGAAAATAGGGCGGGGGGCATCTGTTTTCTCATATTCATACTGTCATGTTTTTGTTCTCCGTTCCCATTTGGGTTTGGGTCTCAGAGGCAGGTGAGTCTAAATCTACTGTTAATGTCCACACTAGTCTATATAATGGGTCTGACCTTTCTGAAAATCCACCAGGTTTAGGGTTACAATAATTCACGTACTCACAATTAAACACTTTGATTGGCAAACCTCCAGGAACCATAGGAAAAATATATTCTAAACTTGAACTCACTCAGTAGAGGAATGGTGTTCTGTTAGACAGTGTTGGACAGAGTGAGTTAAGGATTTTAAGTTTGGTCATGGGGTTGATGATGATTGTAGAAACGTGTTCTGAAGCACAGAGGATTCCAGTAGTAGCTTAGCCGTTCAGATTTGAGTCTTCTCTCAAATGCTCAAAAATATACCGTGAACTGAGTCTTGTAAAGAGATTGAACTTTGAACCTCACATGCCATTAAACATTGATTCAGAAGTAGTTCAGCCCTACCCATATGTCCCTGTATCCTCCTGTCTGTCTGTCTCTGTCCCCATGTGTCTCACTGTCTCATGTCTTGTTTAACTGTGCTGTGTGTTTGTGTGTGTCCAGAGCAGGGCCAGGGGGACGTGCCCTCCTTCTACACGTGTGAGGAGGGTCTGTCTGCGCTGACACCAGAGGGACAGGCCACACTGGACAGACTGGAGGGCATGCTCGCCCAGTCTGTGGCACAACAGTACCACATGGCAGGGGTCCGCACAGATGAGTCCACCGGCCAGTTTGAAGGTCTGTTTAATGCTCTTGTATTCCACAAAATGGACTCTGATGAGCTTTAATGTTATGTCCTCAAAAACAGACCCAAACTTGTGTTTAGTTTCATTAACATTCAAGCTACCTTTAGTTACCTTTACCTTAGTTTTTCTTAGTTTAGTTACCTTTTTTACATTTAGTTCAGTCAGCAGTGGACATAACAAAATAAAAGTATTAAAGTACTGTGTTTATTTATTTAACTTCAGTAGATTTTAAAGTTCACCACATTTGAGAATTTGAGATCAGGTATCTGTACTTTCTACTCTACTACAGTTTTTTAACAGGACTGAAAAGTACAAATAAAAACTGCGAAGGAAAAAAAAAAAAAAAGTGTGTGTGTATGTGTGTATTTATTTATTTATTTAATTTTTTAACAAAATTCAGCACAAATCTTTGTCAGAATCACTGCACGTCACTGGATCTCAGAATAAATACTTTTTCTTAAAGTATTAAAGCACTTGTTTAAAATGTACTCTTGCTTTTATGCAATGATTTTTGTTGTTCCAGTATCTGTACTTTTACTCAAGCAACAAAATTGAGTACATCTTCCACCAGAGTTCAGTAGAGATTGAAAATTCTAGAAGAATCTAGATTCTAGAAAAATCTTGGACAGACAGGTTGAGTGATAACTTTGTGAAAAAGATGTAAGAGGAGTAACAGGTGTATGGGGCAGATATGACAGGTAGGACTGGCAGGTGCGCGGGAGGTTTGTGACATGTGTGCTGTGTTGCAGATGGCATGGAGGTGGAGGCAGAGGTGGGGCAGTTTGAGGATGCAGATGTGGATCACTGAGCCCAGGCGAGCTCTGAGGGCCGGCCCACTGGACCTCTGACCTGAGTGCTCCATGTGAATGTTTTGTATTTGAGGACAATTTTGAGTCTGCCTGAATAAATTCTGTTCGAGTTTGTATGGAAATTTAAATAAAAAGCACTTGTTTTGTAAGATTCACTGTGTTCACTGTGGGGTTGAATAATGGCACCACTTTCATGTGTAATTTAACTAAAGTTGAAATACTGTCAGAAATGTTTTTGTTTCATGTGATCAAACCTAGATATGATATTAAGAATAAACCAGGTTAAATTCAATACTTGAACATGACAGAAGATGGAGGTATTACAGCAGAAGTCATCAGTAAGTATTTTACACCAGCTCCCACTGACCTCATGAGGGCGCCACCAGGCCTGGGTCCACTGGACCAAACGTGAGAATTCAACTTCATTTATTATAAAGAGTTGCACCCTCATTTGAGATGGGGTAAATAATGACACTTAATTTAACACGACTGCCTTTGCACACTTTTGAAACTCAAATGCAGCCTCAGTCTGTTTGACCTGGACCACCACTGGATGCAACACATGAACCCCAGATACTAATTTATTTGTCTTACAAAGAATAACAACAAAGTCCATGCAGAGCAAAAAATACTTATTAGACCTTCTTCAAAAATGTGAATGAGATGAAACATCTGTGCTTGGAACAATGGAGTCACTGTCTTTGTTAGAGGTCAGAAATGAAGAATGTCTGAATGATCTGAAATCAGCTCCTGGAGCCCCACGTGTCTCCTGAAAATCAACCTGTACTCAGGGGCCTTTATGGGGCTGTGTGGGGCCCCACTGCTACACACAACATATTTCTGTCTATCTTCCTATCTGCACAAGTTTCACTGACGTGTGAATCAAAACCATTGGTCCCTCTGTAGAACATGGGCTCACACCCCGTGGTATCTGCCTCATTCCAGTGAGATTCCAGTGGCCCCTGACGCTTCTCCCAGGAACCTGCACCTCCAGAGCCCTCTTCACCTCCTGCGCACCAGTCTCCATCCTTCTAGCCAATCACAGAGCAGCACGGAGCCCAGCATCCCTGCACACACAGAAGAAGTCATCACACTGAACAGGAGAGAGCGCGTGCACGTGTGCGCACATGGACAGTATACGCACCGAGCACCGGGCCCAGCCAGTACACCAGGCAGTACTCCGGGAGCGAGCGGCCCTCACAGCGGAACTGTGTGGAGAAGGCCAGCGCGGGGTTAAACACGGCTCCTGTGCTCGGGCCCCCTGCGAGCACACACACACCCACACACACACACACAAACACGCGCACACACACACACACAAACACGCGCACACACACACACACACGCACACACACACACACACAACACACACACACACACACTATTATTGTCACGGCAGGACAAACATGCATGTACGTGACAGTAGTGCGCGTCACCTGCGTACACTGCGGTGGTGACGACTGCTGCCACAGCGTGCACGCGATATTTTTCCTCCAGGCTACGCGTTTGCGTGATGGCCGTTTGCACCGCGCATGCGCACGCAGTTTCCACTGCAGTAGCGATGAGCGGAGAATCTACGGGGCTCGTGCACTGGAACTCGCGCGCCCGGTGCCGAACGTGCAGACTGGACATGCCCAAGCTCCACGCGAGGGGCATCAGGGCGCGCGCGGCTGCAGCAGCTGCGAACTGGCACGCGATCTCCCATAGAGCTGCGCCGGGCACGAGCCTCTGGCGATACGTGTGCACGAGCGTGCACGCCGGATTCCCGACAGCGCCTTTGAACGTGAGCCCGTGCACCACGGCCGCGACGTACGTCAGGGTGTGCGCGAGGCGGCGCTCGATCTTCCCTACGTCCGAGAGCACGCGCAGCTCGTGCGTGCAGCAGCACAGCTGCAGCGTGGATACGAACTCCGCCGCGTGCACCTCAAGTCCGCTGTGCGCGAGGACCCTGGCCAGCATCCGCCGAAGCGCATCACTGAGTAACACCACCACCGAGAGCAGCGCCAGCGACACCGTCACGTCCGCCTTCTCTGCCGCCCACTCCGCGCGGCCTGCCGCTCCTTCTCCAGCCATGCGCCCACGAGATGCTCTGTCCGACGCAACTGCTCCTGGTCCGCTGCGCTGAGAGGACCCCCGACAAGACTCTGTGGGGGGAGCGGACTCACGTGGGTGCGTACGGAAGTGCGCGAGCTGCAGGTTCCCTCCCCCTCTGTGTAAAGGCTGCCTATACACACACTGTTATACACACACACTGTTATATACACACACTGTTATACACACACACACACACACACACTGTTATATACACACACTGTTATACACACACACACTGTTATATACACACACTGTTATACACACACACACACACTGTTATATACACACACTGTTATACACACACACACACTGTTATATACACACACTGTTATATACACACACACACTGTTATATACACACACTGTTATACACACACACACTGTTATACACACACACACTGTTATATACACACACTGTTATACACACACACTGTTATACACACACACTGTTATACACACACACACACACTGTTATATACACACACACTGTTATACACACACACACACACACACTGTTATACACACACACACTGTTATATACACACACACACACACACTGTTATATACACACACACTGTTATACACACACACACACACTGTTATACACACACACACTGTTATATACACACACACACACTGTTATATACACACACTGTTATACACACACACACTGTTATACACACACACACTGTTATATACACACACTGTTATACACACACACACACACACTGTTATATACACACACACTGTTATATACACACACTGTTATACACACACACACACTGTTATACACACACACACACACACTGTTATATACACACACTGTTATATACACACACACACTGTTATATACACACACACTGTTATATACACACATACACACACTGTTATACACACACATATACACACACACACACACACTGTTATATACACACACACTGTTATACACACACACTGTTATATACACACACTGTTATATATATACACAGTTATACACACACACACACACACACACTGTTATATACACACACACACTGTTATACACACACACTGTTATATACACACACTGTTATACACACACACATACACACACTGTTATACACACACACACTGTTATACACACACACTGTTATATACACACACTGTTATACACACACACTGTTACATACACACTGTTATATACACACACTGTTATACACACACACACACACACACACACTGTTATATACACACACTGTTATACACACACACTGTTTATACACACAGTTATACACACACACTGTTATACACACACACTGTTATATACACACACTGTTATACACACACACACTGTTATACACACACTATACACACACACTGTTATACACACACTGTTATACACACACACTGTTATACACACACACACACACTGTTATATACACACACTGACACACACTGTACACACATATACACACACACACACACACACACACACTGTTATATACACACACTGTTATACACACACACACACACACTGTTATATACACACACACACACTGTTATACACACACACACACACTGTTATATACACACACTGTTATACACACACACTGTTATATACACACACTGTTATACACACACACACACACACACTGTTATATACACACACTGTTATACACACACACACACACTGTTATACACACACTGTTATACACACACACACACACTGTTATACACACACACTGTTATACACACACACTGTTATACACACACACTATACACACACACTGTTATCACACACACACACACACACACACTGTTACACACACTGTTATACACACACACTGTTATACACACACACACACACACTGTTATATACACACACACTGTATATACACACACACACACTGTTATACACACACACACACACACACACTGTTATATACACACACACTGTATATATACACACACACACTGTTACACATATACACACACACTGTTATACACACACACACACACACACTGTTATATACACACACACTGTTATACACACACACACTGTTATACACACACACACTGTTATATACACACACACACACACACACACACACTGTTATACACACACACACACACACTGTTATATACACACACTGTTATACACACACACACACACACTGTTATATACACACACACTGTTATATACACACACACACACACACTGTTATATACACACACTGCACTGTTATACACACACACACACACTGTTATACACACACACACACACACACTGTATATACACACACACACACACACACTGTTATATACACACACACACACACACACACTGTTATATACACACACTGTTATATACACACACACACACACACTGTTATATACACACACACACACACTGTTATACACACACACACACACACACTGTTATATATATCACACACACACACACACTGTTATATACACACACACACACACACACTGTTATACACACACACACTGTTATATACACACACACACACTGTTATACACACACACTGTTATATACACACACACTGTTACACACACTGTTATACACACACACACACTGTTATACACACACACACACTGTTATATACACACACTGTTATACACACACACACACACACATATACACACACTGTTATACACACACACACTGTTATATACACACACACACACACACTGATACACACGCTGTTATACACACACACACACACACTGTTATATACACACACTGTTATACACACACACACACACACTGTTATTATATACACACACACACACTGTTATATACACACACACACACACTGTTATATACACACACTGTTATACACACACACACACACACTGTTATACACACACACATACACACACTGTTATATACACACACTGTTACACATATACACACACACTGTTATATACACACACACACACTGTTTATACACACACACACACTGTTATACACACACACACACACTGTTATATACACACACACACACACACACACTGTTATATACACACACTGTTATACACACACACTGTTATATATATACACACACACACACACTGTTATACACATACACACACACTGTTATACACACACACACACACACTGTTATATATACACACACACTGTTATATACACACTGTTATACACACACACACTGTTATACACACACACACACTGTATACACACACACACACACAGTTATATACACACACACACACTGTTATATACACACACACACACTGTTATATATACACACACACACACACAGTTATATACACACACTGTTATACACACACTGTTATACACACACACACTGTTATATACACACACACTATATACACACACACACTGTTATATACACACACTGTTATACACACACACACACACACACACACTGTTATATACACACATATACACACACTGTTATATACACACACTGCACACACACACACACTGTTATATACACACACTGTTATATACACACACTGTTATACACACACTGTTTATACACACACTGTTATACACACACTGTATACTGTTTATACACACACACACTGTTATATATATACACACACACACTGTTATATACACACACTGTTATATACACACACTGTTATACACACACACACTGTTATATACACACACTGTTATATATATACACAGTTATATACACACACACACACACACACACACTGTTATATACACACACACTGTTATATACACACACTGTTATACACACACACTGTTATATACACACACTGTTATACACACACACACACACACTGTTATACACACACACTGTTATACACACACACTGTTATACACACACAGTTATACACACACACACTGTTATATACATACACTGTTATATACACACTGTTCAATACACACACTGTTCTATACAGACACTGTTCTATACACACAGTGTTCTATACACACAGTGTTCTATACACACACTGGCATAGGGCACAGGCTCTAGTCTGCAGTGCTAGTGTACAGTCAGGTGTAGACTGCAGTCAGGTGTTGGCAGGAGTCAAGTCTCACAGGTCAATGCTGAAGTGAGGGAAGTGGAGAGTGTTGAGTTCCACCTGGACTGGACAGCAGTGTGGTGAGGATGACTCTTATGTTGTGCCATTTTTAGAACAAAAGAAACATGCAGAACATTGATTTTGGAAACATATCATGACATCAGAGTAAATGTGATATTACAAAGCCAACCAAAGACCATGGCACGAGGGTGTTTCACAGTGTAACAGTCTGGATTACACATGTACTGTTGTTCTTGAAGCATATCCTCTCTTATTTTCTTATTTTGAACTGTAAAGTGCCTCCTGCTATAGTTAAGACCTCCTAGTCTCTCTTCATGTTTCAGGATGAGCTCTGAGCACACCTGGCGACATGTTATAGTGACCTAACCACCTGCTAAAACAGGTTAAATCCTCCGGGGGATTTGCTAAACTATATATTTTTGGAAAGGTTATAGTTTATGGAGTCAGAAAATCTATGTTTGCATTTGCCCAGATGTCTATATGGCAGCCATATTGATTTAAAAAAAAAATGGCCGCCAAAAAAGTCTTTTTGGAATATCTCAGCCTCTGAATAAGTTGAAATGTTGATTTTAACTGCTAAACCCACATTTTCAGGGTCAGGGAATCAAATGGTGCTAATTACAAAGCTATAAGACCTACCCACATGAACCCTTCAGTGCATAAGTGGGTCAAAAATGACCCGGTTTGGTTGTTTTCTTGCAATTTCACTGTAATATTTGCATGTAATACTCCATGTTCCTCCAAAAAACATGTTTTGTTTTTTTAATTATCCTGTTGAAATACTTCAACAATGTGGGGAGAGCAAACTATAAACATCACATGAAGTTGGTCAGAAAACTGAAAGAGTTTAAAAGTAGCTAACAGAAAATGTGTATGTTGGATGTCAACGCACACATTTAGACACAATATGATTACTCAACTTTTTAATTAGACATTTTCTATACATCATCACTATCATCATCACTTTCATACAACCATAGACTGTATATACGAGTGGACAGATCCAATGCTGTAGCCGCTGTGTGCCAATCAGGAAGTTCTCCAGGAGGCTCTTCCGGCTCCTTCAGACTCTGGCTCCAGTTGACTTACATTAGGATCTTGTGGCTCCTCTCTCTGTACCTGCTGCAGTGAGCCATTTTGGTCTTAAAATGTTTGTATTAACTCGCTTTACATGATTTAGTTTTTTTTGTTGTTGTTTTTTTTTTCGCTATTTTGTCCATCAAAAAAATCCTATTCATAATATAGAGTCTAGCTCCAGATTGGCTCCTGTAACCGTGAGCATCACGAGCCTCATTTGAGCAGCGCTGAACTCTGTGGGTCACACTCACTTAGTCCACTTCTTTTATACAGTCTATGCAACAACACGGCTTGGGAATCATCATCATTCTGGCACTAGCTGCTGCACTGACACATGTCAGTGCATCGGACCAACTGCTGCTATCACGATATCATTTATTTAAAGAAAACTAAGTAAAGCAAATTGCACATGTACTTAATACAATGGCCCTGAAGATGTTGTGATATGATCCCACCCATATATATACACCCATAGACAGGAGTGAATACAGGAGTGAATATGGAGCCAGACTTTATATTATTCCATTCTATTCCATTTTCTTCCGCTTATCCAGAAGTCTCCGGCTTATCATATTGTGTCTAAATGTGTTTGTTGACATTCAACATCCAAATTTTATGTTAGCTACTTTTAAACTCTTTTAGTTTTCTGACCAACTTCATGTGATGTTTATAGTTTGTTTTACCCACATTGTTGAAGTATTTCAACAGGATAATTAAAAAAAAAAACATGTTTTTTGGAGGAACATGGAGTATTACATGCAAATATTACAATGAAATTGCAAGAAAACAACCAAACTGGGTCATTTTTGACCCACTTATGCACCGAAGGGTTCATGTGGGTAGGTCTTATAGCTTTGAAACTAGCACCATTTGATTCCCTGACCCTGAAAATGTGGGTTTAGCAGTTAAAATCAACATTTCAACTTATTCAGAGGCTGAGATATTCCAAAGAGTTTTTTGGCGGCCATTAAAAAAAAAAAAAAATATATATATATATATATATATATATATATATATATATATATATATATATATATTTGGCCGTCATATAGACATGTGGGCAAATGCAAACATTGATTTTCTGACTCCATAAACTATAACCTTTCCAAAAATATATAGTTTAGCAAATCCCCCAAAAATTGCCACTAAGGTTAAAAAATGAATATAAGGAACCGGACTAAAATGCAGAGGACACATTTCCTACAGGAGCATATCGTACCTTAACCCCTGACTTTAAAGGTCCCACGTTATGCAAAAGGGTTCTTGTGAGTTTTAAGCCATGTTATAATGTTATAATATAATGTTATATAATAATCCTCAAAAACATATCTGGGGTAGATTTTTGTTTCATTCACACATTTCACACATCAACATAAGATTACTCAAACATGTACCATCACTCAAAGGAGCAACAACTGTAACATGGGTAAAAAAATATAAAAAAAAAAAAGACAAGATGAGGTCGAACCATGCACCCAGTACTGGGCTGTACAAGGCTGTACAAGGCTGTACGGGGCTGTACGGGGCTGTACAGGCCAATGCAGGAGATATGAATAACACAGATGTGAGGTGTTGTGTGTTCTCACTGTGCCCAATGCTCACAGCTCACTGTTCTGCTCTGAGGAGATGAGAGCCTCCTCCTCTGACACATTCTCCCTGATGAGTGCTGTTTGTGAGGGGGAGGTACAGGCTCTCTCTCCCAGTGCTTTCAGGACCTCCTGGAGCATGTTAGCCTGACAGGCCAGTCACTGCACCTGACACTGCACCTGACAGCCCTCATGGACTAAAGTATTGCACCTGACAGCTCTGACACTGTGTGAGTGTATTTATCACAATGTGGTGACTAAAAACTGCACACACACTTGCATCATGGGGACCTGCCTCCTTTGGGGACAAAATCAGGTCCACATGATGTAATCTCTTTATTGTTCGACTAACCACATGGTCTAAAGTTCAGATAGGGGTTCAAATAGGTAAGCTTAGGATTCAGGTGAAAGGTGCTCTACTTGATTTTGACCTGAAAAGGTGAAAACAGAACTACTTGATTTGAAATAGTTTACAGTGGTTCAAAGGTGTTCCCCTTCTGCACCCCAGAAGAGTGTGTTATGTACTGGAACCACACTCATTTTGCTCAAATACATGTACAGGTCCTTTCAGGCAAGTGGGCCTCATGACTGATCGTTAAGGTTAAGATTCATCTCCAGGAAATGAATCAATATAGAGTACCCAAGCAGCCTGAGTATGTGTGTGTGTGTGTGTGTGTGTGCATGTGCATGCACACACATGAACATACGTGTAAATAAATATGCTTAATAATACTATAATACTGTGAAACTTTTCAGACAAAGCAATAATATCTCCATGGAGACAAGCAGGTGATGCACCCTCCATTAAAAAAATTACAGAGTGCATCTTTAACACTGGCAGACTATAGTTGAATGAAGTAAAACTTGAAATAGCCACATGCAGTCATACAGTCAGCTCACGTACAGTGTTCTTGTGGCCTGTGCTCTGAAGCACATGCTGAGTGTTGCTGCTGCTGTGGGACCTCTGCCCGAGCGAACACACAACATTTTGGATCCTTTTCACACTTGAAACTTTACTGTGAAATGTTCCAGCTGCAGACTGGCATATGTACTGCACCTAGACCACTGTATACTAACATTTCAATTATTATTATTCATACTTCTTTAATGAATGAAACAAAACAAAACAAAACAATAATGAAATGAGATACCACAATAATGATAAATAATGACAACAGACTGTGATTTTTCACATTAAATGGAAGTACTTTCTTTTCTATTCCCGTGTGAATCGTCAGTGGTGCAGTAGGTTCATATTGGTCCATGTGTATACTAGTCTATGTGCTCTTCCACTTGTTCTGATACAGCTCAACATTATTCAAAAATATTCAGGAAAGGCTCTTTTCTGTTCTCTCACTGGGACTTTTTAGTAATGATAGCAAATGAGTATCTAGTTTCAATATTAGTTTTAATTTATTTTTATTTTTTTAGGTGAAATGAACATTTTTAGCTTTAAAATTGCAAAACGCTACAGCAAATAGATGACATAAGAGTGAAATGGGCTTAGCGTGAGCAAACCTCAGAGGGTCTGCCCGGGCTAATGACAGCCTCCCCTGAAGTCACCTCTAAACCTATAATTATCCAGGAGAAGGGAAGAGGAGCAGGCCCAGGGGAGGCCCCAGCTCTGGGTGTGCACAGTTAAATACAGCACACTCCACAGCTGCCCTAAAGCCCACTGGAAACTCCCACAGATGCAGTCGTACGTCATCGGAACTGGTTGCTTAGCGCCTCCTCCACCTCATTTCCAGCATCGCATCACCACTGCCCCTGGGAGGCTCAGAAAGGCAGACTGTTTAATATGTTTATTATGACTGTTTGTTTGCTTCAAAAGAACTCAACAGAAAGTGAGAGGTGTGTGACAGGGCTGTCCCAGTGCGCCCTGTCACTGTGGTAGTGCAGGACTGATCGATAAGGCCCAGAACAGGCCCTGCAGGGGTGAGGGTGGGGGAGGGGTGATGGAAACATTTGGAATGGGGAGGGGAGGGGAGGGGGGGGGGGGGGCAGCCAATCAGCATCAGCGAGAGGAAACAGTGTAGCACACCAGGAGCACACAGCACCAGAGCAGAACATCACAGAGGAGGTCTTCAGCTCTTGTGGACCTGTGGAGATCTGGAGAAGACATGGACCAGACCAACGCTCAGTCTGAAACCATCGTTTTGAACTTCTCAGAAGACCGTGCACTCACTGAGGTACAGCCTTGCTCCTTCTTTATTTAGTGACAAACTCATGTGTGGAGTGAATCAAATAACAGGGAGGTTCTTTCATGTGTTTTGATTAAGTCACATGGCTTTCTACAAGTCCTGTTACAAAAAGTCTTGTTACACTGCAAAAAGTCTTGTTACATTGTAAAAAGTCTTGTTACATTGTAAAAGGTCTTGTTACATTGGTGTTACATTACAAACTAGGAGTCACATTACAAACTAAACTATGTAACATGAAAAGTCAGGTTAGAAAATAAAAGGCCTCATTACAGTTATCAGTGGAACAGTAAAAGAGACACATTCAAACCAAAGGCGTTCATGCAGATCGTCTGAGTGAGTTTTCTGCAGACACACAGGAGTGAGTTTTCTGTGATGTTCTCATGTGGTGACTTTTGCTGGTCCTGTGGCTGAGAGGCTGACTCCTGCCTGTGTTTGTCCCTCACAGATGATGCGTATGCGTGTGTCATCACTGCAGCGGTCAGGTCAGAAGCGTCAGGAGGGGGAGCGTCTGCTGCTGCCCAATGAGGCAGTGTACCGCCTGGACTTTCCCAAGCAAGACCTGAGCTTCCAGCAATGGCACTTCTCTCTACGTGCCCACGGCAGAGTGACCATCACGGGCATCTCTCAGCACTGGACCCCCGACCTCACCAACCTGATGAGCCGCCAGCTGCTGGAGCCCATCGGCACCTTCTGGAGGAACGCGGCGGACCCCCCCGATTCTCTGCTCAAGTGCCTGGAGGCTGACATGCAGGAGTTTGGGGAGAGGATTGCAGAGCTGGCCAAGGTCCGGAGGGTCATGTACTTCCTCCTGGCCTTCAAGGAAGGGGCAGAGGCCGACCACCTCAGCTGTGCCATCCAGTTCACGGCACACAAATGAAGCACACCTCCTTAAGACAAGCTGCAGATCTGTGCCCTACACAGTCCCCTGGCCACCACCACCCTCTGCTCTGCTCTTCACAAAATTACACTCCCTGCTGACTCTCAGCAGCAGATCACTCATGACCCCACACTCATTCTACTGTAGTTGACCTCAAACTGGAACTATAGAACACCTAGATAACCACTTTTCTACCAGGGCGGAGTCCTTTTCAGTCGCATTGTATTTGTGGCCCAGATGAACTTCAGTTTGGATCAAATCTTTGATATATGTAGATGCTAGGACAATGGATATAGTTTGTGTGTGGACTAACAGCATGATCTGCATCTAGTCTCAGAATGAAAGCTAACAGTGTGATGCTAAAGGCTATGTGCTAATGATTTGGCTCGCTCTGATGTTCCATGTTTGTTCAATAAACTGTGTGAGTGTTTTTATTTGGGCTTCTGACATTCACTGCCACACATACAAGAGAGGGCCATGGATGTTATACAGTATTTCAGCTTGAGTTGGTATTTTCAATCATGACTTCAGTGTTGTCTGCACAACAGTGGCAGCACAGTGCAGGGAGTTTACACACAAGGGACAATCTAAAAGTTCTCTCTGATCTGAATGGTCACTCACTAAACCCCAGCACCTGCACCAGTTATGAGTCAGTGCTAGTGCAGCCTCTGCAGCTCAGTGAGGGAATTCTGGAGGTTCTGAGCTTCACATGAGACCTGGTCTGTCCATAAACTGAGAATGAGACACTTGGATGTGTCTCTATCTGTGGGTAAAGACTCTGGAGACAAAGGTTCAGATGTGATTGGAGAACCTTCAGAGCACAGAGCACACACCACCACCTTCCCTTTAAGTGTGAGTCCAGTCCTGAAAACTCAAGGTCACACATCTCACACAGTCTGGGCTCCAACAGTAGTTATTGACCGATGTGTCCATCATCCCCCTGCACCCAGCGCCTCCTGAGGCCATCCATGACCCACTGAGCAGGACCCAGCACACGGGTAACACACCCCACTGCCCAAATGTGTCCTGATGTGAGTCCTGTGCACAGGACCCTGTGTGAGAGGTGGACCAGTCTCAAGAATGAACAATGAATCTCTCACAGAAGCGAGGTCCCTCTCACAGCAGCAAGGTCCCTCTCAGAGCAGCACCCTGGTCAGTGTCTTTATTTTGTCTCTTGTAATAGTGTACCATTCACTTTGTTTCATGTCACTGCCTGTCCCCATGTATAAGCTGCTTTATATATTTACAGAAAACTGTATACTGTGTTGTCTGTAAAAATTACAATGTGTAGCTTCAAATCAAGGAAAAAAGTGTCTTGTACAGTTTTTTTGTATGACTGTGGCGCCCTCTGGTGGCTGTAGAGACAATGAGCCCTGAGCTCTGAGTCCAGTATGGGCCATACTGGGGAAGCTTCCCTGGTACTTTAGTACCTTAATATGAGCTCAGGTAGTTACCAGCTTCACTTCTCCTCACAGTTACTTTTCACTGAGCCTCCATGCCTCTCTGAGCTGGAAAATCTGCCTTTTCCTACGAGCACCATGGTCCTGGAATCATTTACAGAAAGATCTTCTACTGGAATCTATGGTGTCACTTGATAAATTCAATAAAATTGTTTTTAAAAAGTGTGGTGACCGAGATGAATGTGTATGTGTCTTTTTCTTTAGAGATGCACATGGTTTTATTATGTGATGTTTGGTGATTTGACTGTTTTGTATTGATTGTGTTGGCCTGGTCTTTCTTGAAAAAGAGACTTTGAATCTCAGTGGGACCTGCTCATAAAGAGACAGGTGCCGT